ATGACTGTTCAGCTTATTATTGTTATCATTACAACCAATGTTTAAGTTATTGTGATTATAACCTTCACTGTTCAGGTTATTGTTTACAACTATCGTTCAGGTTATTGTTTACAACTATTGTTCAGGTTATTGTTTACAACTATTGTTCAGGTTATTGTTGTTATATAACCATCGCTGTTCAGGTTTTTAGTCTAATCTGAATTATCATGACAATTTTAAAGTATCTCAGTTCTATTTGTGGATCCTTTGTTTGGTGAACGTTTTACACCTGTCAGATAAATATATTTATTAGTAAAATTTTCTATTTCTATCTGATATAAGATGTTGAGCTCATTTCTTTTGCCTTCTGAAATAGCAAATCACTTCTTATTTAGAATCACTTCAGAATTTTATCAAAATTATTGCTGATTTCACACCCCTGTTTTCACCTTGCCTCCAGCTGAATGTCATTGCTATCTTAATTACCACTGTAAACGATTTCCTACAAGATTGAAAAGTCAAAACTTCTCTCAGAAATCATTTCACTTTATGTGGCAGAAGCGGGAAAAATTTGTTTCTGTATCTATATCATACTGTGCATTTAAATCAGTTATATTACTCAGCTCAATCCACCATCTTTCTTATGGAAGCATGAATTTTGCGGTAGACGTTGTGTATGAATACAGTCTTTTTCTGAGGGATTTACTTTTTGCAAATGGTTGTCCTGGTGAGGGACACCTGACAGCAAGAGTTGTAACATCAGAAATGAGTTCTTGCTTTGAATGTGATTCGAACCTGTGGCATCAAACTAATGTCACTAGTTGACCTTGTAAGAGTTTCCTAATATAGTGAATGGTTGGATACTTTCATTTCATATTCAATGACCAATCAGATCTCTGGAAATATGTTAACATGGATTATCGTAATGAATTTTTTTGGCTACTGACAATCTTGCCATAGGTTATCCAACTCTTCATATATAAAGTCAATTTTATGACTCACGTGAATTAGGTATAGACATTAAACGAAACGAAGGGAAAAATCTGTATGTAAATAAAGTGTAATATGGATATTGATGCACTTGAATGCTTTTGAAGCTACAATACAGGTGCATTTATATTTCACTTAGTAGCTATTAAAGTGATAATATACTCGTTATGTCAATATTGCGTCTGCTTCACAAATTCAATAGACTATAAACATGCACTTTGACCTTCTCAAACACAACTCAAATTTTTTGGTTAATTTTCTGGTGTAAGGTTTCTGTATCAAGGTTAAAGAAATAGCCCCAAAATTTGTTTGAATTTTAATCAGGCAAAAAAAGCTGCATAAAAACTTAAAATTTACATTCTTAAATCCATTCATTCAACAACGTACGACCAATTAACAAGGACACCAAAATCAGACTGAAACATTAATAAACTGAAATAGTCAGATTACTGAAATCAAGAGATTTTATTTCAGTTTCAGCACTAGATGCTGAGTTGACAAACTTAGTTTTTCAAACACATAAGATTTTTTTGCTCCTATAATGGCTGCATGCTACCGTAAGTGCTAGGTAAGAATTGTTCACCCATAGCATGAGTTGGATAGAATTGTATCTACAGGTTGCAAAAAAGCCCCCTGAAAGACCAATAGTATGTCAAGATTTATGATGACACTTTTTGTAATTCTCAGACAATAGTTAAAGTATATTCTTGTTGAAGCACTGTGTAGACAGGGTTCCTTTCAGTGCAAACCAATCTTAAGAATTATTACAAAGAGTTATAAATGTTTTTGACAAGGTAATGGCAATAAGCCTATCAAATAATAGATTGAGACTAGAGATTAGAGATAGACACACTGTGAAATATACAAATGAGCACATTTAGTCAGTGATATATGTTTTGACGCTTTAGATAAGCATTTCAACATACTTCCTACATTATAGCTTACAACAATTTCTGATAAAAAACATCATGTTTATCAACTTTTATCCTACTTATTGTCTCTGTTCATTATGATATGAAAAATAGAGTGGCAGTATACCTGTTAAAAATAAATTTCTTTAGTTTGATTGTTCATGTCAAATATAATTATTATGAAAAATATATGACTGAAGTATTTTTGAGGAACTTTTTTTGAAAATTATAAAATATATAATATGAATCAGCATTTTCAGTTTTTGATCAGCATAATTGTCAATATCCAAATTATAAATATGTTTACTTTAACTTTTGCAAACCAACTGGAAATTCAGCTATATGATTTTCTAAAGATAAATTTAGGCAAAAAAGATATAATAGTACTTAAAGAATTTCTTGTAAGATAATATAAATCTGTTCAAGATGTTGGATGTTGGTCCAAGGAAGTTAGTAATGTCTTGTTATATTAGTTGACAATTTGGTTACCAAGAGATTTTAGAAAGAAATGTATGTTGGAAATCTGGAAGGGAAAGAAAAGAACATCATTCAGGATAGGTTCTAAGGATCTTGTCCACTAGGTTCTCCTTGTCTGGGCTTCTTGGCATAGATCTTTACCAGATTGTCTGTACCCACTATAGCTGTATGTAATTGTTTTTGAATAGAAACATGAGAGTTTGAAATGATATGTTTAATTGTGTCTTTCCAGAGCTACAGTTATCGATTCTTTAAAATGGTATAAAGATGATGGAGAGTTGACCTATGAACTATGTGAGGAGAGTAAGTATGGTAGGCTATTATTTTCGTTAGTTTGTAGTTATGGTGGATGTGCATGAAAATAAATATGCTATGAATAATTACAGATGTTTTCTTTTGCTAAGATCAGAAAAAAAAAGAACTACTCTGTACTCTTGGAATCTCAGAAAAAGTTTCTGCCAGAGTTCTTGATTGCCGCCTTCATAGTTTTGGCCATTTCATGCCGAAATGAAAGAAAAGCAACAACAAGCAATTTCTCTTGACTAAATTTGGTTTTTATTTGTAGAGAGTCAACAAGATGATGCCCAGACAGCTAATGTTGATGATAAAGATGAAGTACCCAATCAAGATGATGACAATGAATGTTGTGCTTGTGGTCATGCTAATTATAATATAGTCTTTCAAGGCGTCTGGTCAAGACAAACTCATCCAAAAGGCTTTCCTCCCAAGAAATGTAAGTTGTAAAAATGACATTATTATCCTTAGGCACACAGATATAGCACTATTTCAATCATTGAGCTTCCTTGTGCTTAGCAATCGATAAAGCAGACTGATTTTTTTTATCATGGGTATAATTTCCTTCCTGCGCAATGAAAAACGGTTTGGACACCATCCAATCTATTTCATTATACCTTTAATACTGCAGTCTAAAGCTTATGTTTTGTGACAAATTTTGTTTGTAGTTCAGGAGAAATCCAAATTTTATCTAAAAAAGTACCTTCATATAAGCCTATATGATATGAGGGTACCAGCAGAACTATGGTCTGATAAAGTTTGTCATTATTGACAAGTGGTTCATTTTCATCATCAGTAATGCAGAATTTTCATTCTTTCATCTGGTAAAGTAAGCAAGTATTTAACCACCAAATGATCAATATATTGGATTTTGTTTTTTCAGTTAACCCGCTAATTCATTGGTCTAATGTAGTAGGAGCAACTCATTCTAGTGATTTTGAGATCTGGAAATATGGAGGCATGGCATCACCTGCTGTTAAAGAAGTGTGTGAATTTGGTATTTGGAGAACTTTAGAAAAATACATGAAAGAACAGGTTAGTGATTTAGTCACTTGGTACCAGCATGCCCTGGGTTTGCCATTTGTGCACTACATGGTTGAACAAGTAATATGATGCATGAGAGTAATCGTTAAAGTGATACTACGTCTTAGAATGAACATAAAATTTAAGTTCTCAAAATGGTCAATATATTCATCAGTTAGCTTAGCTGGTGTCATAAAGTTACAATAGAATCCCTGTAAAATCTGGAAAATTGGAAAATTCTTAAAAATAAGAAATTATTGATATTAATCGTTTTTCAATAGTTAATTACATATTTATGGATAATTACTAAGTTTTTTGGATTTATCAGATTATATAAGGATCCTGTTATGTTATTTATAACACCAGGTATATCTACTGGCTCTCATTCACCAAGTTTAAAATTCTTAAAGTTTATATTAATTCTAAGACGTAGTATCACTTTAATATCCCCTCACCCCAAAAATATTTCCATAAAAAATTCTCACTATAAAGCCCCATTCAAGACATAACTGGGGAATTCAGTCAAATCAACAATATATGGAAATGTCACAAGATCACGTTTTTTTTCATGTTCTTTATGGACAGATTCTCAAATCATTAAGAAAATCATTAATGTTTATCACTGTCTAGGTTGAAACAATTAAACTTTTTATCAACCTGTTAAAGACATCATCATAAAATTATCATAAAAACTGACTTCAGAAATGAAGTTAAACAAATTTTAACAGTATGATGACCCTTGGGTACTAAAGGTTGAAAATTCAAATAATGAGAAGGTCAGCAAGGTGAGGTGGGGACAAATTTCATATCTTCAAACATTCTTCAAACTTGGATACATTATTGACAACATGGTCCAAACTCAACTGTCAAAACTCACACCTTATTGTACATACATAATTGAACTGCCTTATCACATGTTTTATTTAAACAAGTACGCCAGGCAATATTTAGATACATTTCTAAAGTGTGACTTGTCCAGTTGGTAGTTGGTTGTTAGTATGTTAATTATTCGGCAAGGAGGAGGGAAAGACATATACTTCAATATTGACTTCAGCCCTCCAAATCAAGTGTTCACTACTCTTCATTAACGCTTTTCACATGTTTCGAGTAAAGTGTTCATTTTGTTGACAGATACTTGACTAAATATATGACCCATTCAATTTTATTAATTTTCCTAAAACATGAAAGACTTTTGTTTTCCGTGTGACGTCATAATACGAACTGTGAATGAAGTTTATTTCAGATTTTTTTTTAAACCTTCGTGATATAACAACCAATCAAATTTAAATGCACTAGTTGAAAATGCCAAAAATCCCATAAATTTCTGTCTAAGAGAAATGTTATTAGCTATAAACGGAATTTGATTTCTTAAACAATAACATCTGTGGTATAATTGATGTAAATTGAAGTTACATGAACCTATATTATGTAATTAAAGAATGCCAATATTGTTAAAATTTTAATGAAGGAGAAATCTGTCCACTCCTTAAAGCTTATTTAGGGCCTACTATTGTCTTCAAAATTCTCTTATGATTTTGAGAAGTTAAATCAGAAACTTTATTTCTCTTTTTTTCAAAGTTCCAGTGCCAAATATTTCAGTTCTTACATTTTGAAATCAACTGTTTCAATGATGGATTTATGTATGAAATCGTTTAAGTACAGAACTGAGTTTCAATTTTTTTCGTGTATCAGATGACATTATGTGAACAATATTTGCTGGATGGTGAAACAAGTAGAACTGCTGATCTGCCAGAAATATTGAGTTGACTGATGTAATCATTTCCCATAAAAGCGCAAGTGTTTAATTATAGGATATGTTGTTTAAATTAAATCATTGTATCATCCGGTACAGTAGTCTGGTAGCAGACGTTACTTTTCTATTAAAATACTCTCTAAACCATTTAACTGTTACTCTCTAACCCACATGCTGTAACTATCAGAACTCTTTAGTCAGACAAATCAGGAAGTACTATTTTGGTATGTGATGTAAAAAATACAAACAAGAATGGTCTTGAAACTTGAATGAATGAAACTGTGAAATATTTCTCAAAATGTGTTCAGCTTACATAGCAATTCAGAAACCATTAGCTTATCACTAAAACTAATTTCTTAAAACAGATATAAAAGGAAGATATCAAAAACCACCACCATGGATAATTTTCAACTTATTCAGCAACTCGAGTAATTTTTTGTGATGTATGCAATGTAATTTATGATCAAATAAGTTGCATTGGTTATCATAATAAGAGTAATATGATATCAAATAGTAATCTTTTAAAATTGAAGATAAATAAAATATACACCAGCAAAACAAAGCAATACATTGTTAAACAAAAAAATGAATGTAAGCGAGAAATTCATGCATGAAAGCTCTTTAGATTGATTTCAATTTGTGATATTCTTTGTTACTTTCTTCATCAAATTGTTTTTATGTGGCTTATATAATTTCATGCAGTGGTGGCGCCAGTATGGGTACAGGGTGAGCAATTGCCCCCCCCCCCCCCCCTTTAAAAAAGTGGTTTACACCCCCCCAATTGTACCCCCACTTTATTTTCAACATATCTAAATGTTTACTTTTTTTCTCTAAAATATGTGTCAGAATGCACAAAAACTTTTCTAAACTTTTCTTGAGTGAACCCTCTTCTATGAGAGGCCTGTGACTTTGACACCACCCCAGAGTAGCCAAACTTTAATTTCAGCCTCAGCAGTTGTCCCCCCCCATTGAGTCAGTCTGCTCCTTATTTGTTTTGACAAATAATTGCAATGAAAATTCAATATAACTGAGAATAATAGAACAGTGTTAATTGATGTTCAGAGTTTATTTTTCTAAGTAAAAAGTTTGACATCATACTAAATAGACATCAACAAACTGAACTGTTTGATTTTAGAATCATTCAATATCTAATTTATACAAAAACTGTTTTTAACTTCATCAAAATTCTGGAAATTCAATTAACCTTTTTTTCTTTTCTAATAAATTTTTATGACTTTTGGCCAAATTCTTTAATTGATGAAACAAAAGCAAGACTTGGTATTTAATTGTATAATTACCAGAAAAATGGCACCTGTTGCCAAATGGTAACTATTTTGGCAAATTGAAATGAAACATCAACAACCATTTCTTATGTTTTAATTCAGTCATCAACATTTCTTGATGAAAACAAACATTCGAAAGCTTGTTAGTAATTCTTTCAAATATATAATGCTTTTCGCCTGCATGTAAGATTCTTACACCTCTATTTGATTTTTAGTTGTTTCATAATACACAAAATTAATGAAAATTTAATGTTCTTCCCAAAAATGCAGTTGAATAGTTGGTTCTTGATGCTGATCTGGACTAAAGCCCACCCTTAAAATCATTGAAAAAATTAATATTTTGAATGTTGATCCCCTTATATTACAAAAGTTTTGATTTATTTTCAGGTATTGTGTTGGGCATAAAAGTTGTTTGTACTTTTTTACTTGTGATATTTTTGATAGACAAACCTATGTTTGACCTTTTTAAATTGTGTTTTGTATGTTTGGAGAGCTGAAATTTTGAATTGATTGTATTTCAGAGTAGAAAGATTCGTACAGTTGTGAAAACTAAGTCTCTATATGGTATAAGAAATGTTAAGAAATCAGCTCATGCCGTGTTTACAGTCAGTAAAAAACAACATCTACTATCATTATTAACTATGTTTGGTCCCAGTCCAGATTGGTGTGTTGGTAAGTTATCTCCCTTTCATTTCATCTTCTAAATCAAAACTAATTTTGAATAAGTCAACATTGATTATTGAATGCAAACGTGGTGTTGGGGAAAATAAACAAAGACCTACATCTTAATCTTGTGTTATATTTTTAGCCTGAAAGGAAAATAGTCTGTGCAAGATTTGAAGTTCAAAGTGCCAAATTAAGCAAACTATTTGATTAATTGGTGTTTGTAATGAATTATCATGTATTCTTAATCATATAAATATTAGCATTTTCATTTTCATAAATGAAAATAAGGGAACCCATCTTTAAGTCATTATGATTTGGAAACTTTTCATTCAAGGATTAAAATATTTGGTTTTTGTGAGTGCTTCGCTAGAAATGTGTCAGATCACTAAACTTGGCTATGATTATTTCGAAAACAAAATGGTTGCCAGGAAATCTTTTTGCTACAAATGAATCTAAATTTAGTGGTAATTTCAGACAGCTTAATTAGTCACTGTCTTGTAATGTAAGCTTAATCCTGGTGAAATCATTATTAGTTTTTATATTTTAATTACATTTACTCATGTCGGTGTCAAGGTCATTGAAATTTGTCAGATTGACCCTGGCCTCCCCGGAAGCAAGACAAAAAAATATAACATGAATTGCAGAATCACAGATATGAATTAATTTTATTTGCTGATTTTGCATAAATGCACGATAAAGGTTATTATTTCAAGTAATGATAAAATTGAAATTTTTTACCTATTTATTCATCTGATGACGACACATGTTGTGTTGAAACGTTATGTTTTTAATAATTTGATTAAAAAAGTGTGCTTATCCTATAATATTGTCTTATGTTTGTGATTTGCACTTTCCAATGATATTATATAGGTAATACTTGTAGATATTCTTGTATGCAGTAACACATTTAGGTTTGAATCTCCTGAGGAAAAATATGGAAAAAATTGTTCAAATGAACACAGGTTTTTTGACACCATCACCAAATTTTTTTATTATAGGTGTAAGTGCTTTAGACATCTGTAATAAAAACTGTACATGGGCTGATCATATGGAAATTGATTTATATCCATGGGATGCTGGTACTGATAGTGGTTCTTCATATATGGTAAGATTTCAAAATTTTGAAAATTCAATTGCACATTTATATTCTTCTTCTGCTGTTAGAACAAAAAAGATTTATTCAGAAAGTTTAACTTAGCATGGTTTTAAGGCTGTGTACTTTAAAGATCCTATAAAGATTAAAGTTTGAGAATTTCTGAATCAGAAAGCAAACCGGCTAATTGGAATGCTAAAAAGAACATTTAAACCCCTCGAAAAAGACATGTTCCTACCTATCTACAAGGCACTGATAAGACCAAGCCTGGAATATGCAACAACAATCTGGTATCCTCACTACTCAAAGGACATACAGAATATTGAGAATGTACAGCGCCGAGTAACAAAAAGTGTAAAAGGTTTCTCCAACGTGCCATATCCCGAAAGACTCCGAATCCTTGGCTTTCCAACCTTGGAATATCGTAGGAAGTGGTACGACTGTATCCAGGTCTTCTGATTCATGACCGAAATCGACACTCTCCTGAACCAGGAATTCCTCCCAAAGTCAACCTTCATGAAAACCAGAGGCCACAGTCGCAAGCTTGAAAAACGTAATTCCAGACTGGACACAAGAAAACACTTCTTCTCAATAAGAGTTGTGAACATTCTGAAATTCACTGCCTGAATATGTTGTTTCATCCAATACCTTAAACCAATTCAAATCGAACTGGAATAAAGCATGGAAGAACGATGCCATTAAATTCAATCCCTCTACAATGCTGTAAATTAGTTATTATTAAACCTACTTCTGCTAAATTTTCCACGTCATGCACACTAAACTATAATTCCGAGGCGATCTAGAAACTTTTAAATCACTGTTGAGAATTCGGCCCTTTAATTTTATTGATGAGCTTCTGAAGAATATCATTGTGCCAAAGTAAGTAAAGTACAGACTATAATGCTTTGATGTGGAATACAATATTCATTTGATTGTTTCAAATTTTTTTTCATTTCAGTCTGCCAACAAGGCTACAATTCCTAGAGAACCCATTAGTAGAATAACCAACAAACATCCCAGATCTCATGATTCCCCATTCTTTGGTCATCAACCTATCAAACCATTAGCTCGTCTGATCATCACTAAAGATAAAGAATGGTGTAGTGGTGATGATGGTACACCAAGTTCTGCAGAGTTATCTCCCTCTACTGACGAACTAGTCAGTGCCATGAAGAAGAAAATGATGATGAAAAAGAAATTAGGTAAGGATGTTCGGGACTTGCTGGTGTTGCAAAACTAAGTATTGACAAAATATTCAAGCTGTTGCAAAAAGGCTGTATTGTACACATACAAAGATATTGGAAACATAACAGAACAGTGGACAGTAGACTTGTCTGGGAAAATAGGTTCCTTACATGGTAATGCAGGCATACAAGTCAGGAAAAAATCTGGAGATTGGGTGAAAAGTCAGGAGATTTTTTCAAAGCGCGTAAATTTGTGAATTTTCTGCTCCAATTTGCTTTTCTTTATTTTTTTTTTTTCAAAATAAGCCTTAAGCTCTGTAAATTAATTATTTATCATAGGCCTATAGACATACATGACACAGGAAAAATTAACAAACCTATAATATAGGTTAGGCCTACCCAGGTAAAATAAAAACCCTTAATTTTGTTGTCATTCTTCAGTATTGAAGATTTAATACCGGTAAGCCTACATACATGTAATGCTAATACCAATATTGAAAAATCAATATGTTCTGAAAGCAATAGTAAATACCATATGTACTGACAATGTTACTTTTTCCAAAGGTGTAATTTTTCTAAAAAAAATCTCTAGTCTGATTATTACTTGTATAGTACGGAAAGGAAAAAAATTTTCCTGAAACACCCTCACGAACTATTGACCTGCCACTTTAATTTGACACTACATATATGGAAAGACTTCCAGCCGCGCATGATAATCTACCGATAATAAACACAGATTTCTGTAACGATGCCTACATTTTCATAGAATTGACAGTTATTATGATATAATGAAATTAAAGTAGAGCTACTGTAAAATTTATCGTAAAAGTAAAAGTAGAATCTACCAAATCTTGTTATAAAAACGATGTCACGTGGGCTTGAAATACACATTATCGGGTGAAAATAGATCAAATTACCATCTTAATTGGGGGATTAATTAATCAGGCAATGATAATATTATTACATGATGAGATTAACGCTCGTTACCGGCAATTAAGATACAAGTAGATATTTTGTTGATTTATGGTAGAGGATTTGGACATTGATCCCGCGAAAATTTGATCGGGAAAAAAACGAAAATCGGTAGAATTGGGTATCTCGTCGGTAGAGCAGTGGACATCATGCAATAGTGGTAGAAACCCGACAACATCGGTTGATTAGACATGTATGGACGCAGGTAGTCAATTCAAGCATGGTCAATGTCAATGTATGTTGTTTTTCTATGTTTACAATTTTATGCGTTGACAGAATTGGAAAAATGTTCAACAAGTCAATGGTCAGAATGGAATGACTGCTCCAATCCGTGTGGAGCTGGTATGAGGTTGAGACAGAGAATGTTAAAGAATCCAGCAGTCACTGAGTCTATGTGTAATACTGACCTGATGGAGAAAGAAACATGTATTGGAGACTGTTCAGACAGAGTCGGACAACGGAAAAAGATTTCTGACAATTTTGAATTCCGAGTGGACACAGACTACAATCCTAATGATATTTGTGCTGTTACTCCATGGTCAGATTGGTCACCATGTAGCGCCACCTGTGGACTGGGAATGAAAGAAAGATGGAGGATGTTTTTGAGTAAATCAGAGAAGACATTATCCTGTGGTTTTCATCTGATGGAGAAAGATTTATGTCGTGGTGAAATATTTGATTGTAGAAAAGCCTTGATGATGAAAGATTTCTCAGGTAAAGTTTTATTTGATAGTTGAATTTTGTGATGAAAACAAGAAACCCCATTCAACCTTATTTTGAATCAGCAGGCTTATAGGACCTATAGAGTAAAAAGCCTGATGAGCTTCTTTGATGAACCAAATTAAGTGATGACTATAATCAAGTCAAGTGTCTTATATCTGTATCACTTGATTTTGAAGCAGTTCCACTGATATCTTAACTTTTGAGAATCTTCATTTGCCTGTAAAGTAGAGTAAATTAATTGCAAGTCCAGTAGAACTAACGTGTTTTATGATGTCACTAGAGGGAGCTACCGTAAGCTACTATTGATATCTATGCAGTTCCCGTCTAGTGACGTCATAAAACGTGCTAGTTTTAATGGAATTGCAAGAACCACAGACGTCTGATTGAAAATTAGAATGGTGCAACTTGAAGCTATGCTATTGCATTTTAGCACTGTCATACAAAATGCATTATGGATATTGGATAATTGTGTGATGTGTTTCGTTTACAATTTTAGCTATCTGTACTGAGCCTGCAGAAGTTGGACCATGTCGTGGAGATTTTGAAAGATGGTACTACAATAAGACAGTTGAGAAATGTCAATCATTTAGATATGGTGGTTGCCGTGGTAATGATAATAGATTTGAATCAGAAGATGAATGTGTTCAACATTGTCAAACACATATGGGTAAGTTCTCATCTGGATTTTTTTTTTCTTCCTGGTGCCAAACATTACCAGCTTTAATAAACCTGCAAAACTGAAAATCTAATATTTTGATATGTAAAACCAGAATTTGTACTACATGTACATCTGGGTTATTGAAAAAGCTGATTTCTGCAAAATAATTTCCCTTCATTTACATGAATCAGATAAACAAAACTGAATTGAAATTACTTATTGCTGAAGTAGAAACTGGTATAAAATTAGGTGATTCTTGCTATACAATGAAACATTTATCTTTGTGATCAATCAATGATGGCTACAAAAACAAAAATTATATTTCATGGAAACACGTTAATAACAAACCAATTTCCAAAAGTATGGAAAATGGTAAGTGTACCGCTGACTGTGAACTTCTGGAATGACAAACCACCTGACATTCCAGACAGTCAGCGCCACAAAAGTCATCTGCAATAATGATTATTTGCTTTATTTTTGCTGTAGCTAATATGAAACGTAAACAACAAATGATGAGAAAACAACAAATGGAAGAACTACAAGAAAGTAATGATATGAGTATTAAAGAATTGATGCGTAAGAAACAGATGATGGAAGAAGCTTTACAACAAGCAGCAGACACAACAGCTACTGATAAAGCCATTAAAGCGCTTATGAGGAAAAAGCAAATGTTGGAACAAGCACTTGGTAAAGGTTCAGTAGATTCTGCTCAGATTGAGATTCAAATTGAAGATTTATTACGTAAAAAACAGATGATGGAAGATGCCATCAAGTATGGTCTGGAAGATGATACACAAACAATGTCAAAATCTGAAATGCGGAAGAAAAAGAAAATGATGCGTAAAAAGATGAAAATGGAGAAACGTAGATTAAGAAGACTGAGGGCCAGACCAAGTAAAAATGGTCCACAAACAGACTGTATGGTTACACCATGGTCAGACTGGGGAGATTGTTCCGTTACCTGTGGTCGTGGCTATATGATGAAAACTAGAATGATCAAACAAGAAAGTCAAAATGGTGGTCGAAAATGTCCAAAGAAATTAGTGAAGAAGAGGAAATGTAAATTAAGGAAATGCCGTAAGTAAAAATAAATCTGATGCCTTATGATTAAAAAGGTATAAATTTCACCTGAGAGACTCAAACCATGCCTGCTGTAAGTGTCAGTGGGAAATGAAAATTCAAATTTTTGTGTTTCAGCCATTGATTGTGAAATGGGAGAATGGAGTGAATGGTCAGAATGTTCTAATTCTTGTGGAGATAGCGCTGTACAGGTTCGAAAACGAAAAATAAAACAACGACCAAAGAGAGGTGGTCAGCCATGTTTACCTAAAAGGGAAAAGAGATTCTGCAGTTTATCAATGTGCCCAGATGCAGAAGTATGAATTTCATCTTTTTTCTATTTATTGTCATTTTCTCATTGTTGTTGGGTGGCTTTGAATTGGCAGATACAAGTAAAATTGAAATTATGAACTTTTACACTGTTCACTTAAAAAATAGTCTTGAATTAGTCTAAAACAGATTTTTTTTTTCATCTCAAAGTGGTTTTGATCTCCTATAAAATTACAATTTGTGACCTATGATACTGTGTCTGCCATATTGGTTTTTTGGTGTAGTTTGTGGGTGTTTTTTCTCTTCAAATACTTGGTGCAGTGTGCTTTTTGTGTATCTACTGACATTTTCAAAATGGCTGTCATCAGATTTCCGTGTCATCCAGTGGTTTAAATGTTGTAACTCTGGTTTTTTAAATTCTCTTTTTTTAAGGTGTAAATAATGGGTTGCTGTATTCTTCATAATATAACCAGTACGCAATGGGTGACTCCAATTTTCAAAAAATACAAATTTCAAAACTAACCCCACAGTGTGACTCAATCTTCTAGATCACACTCTATATTCAAAGTTCTAGGTGTTTTTTTGCATCCGAAGTATCTTTTAGACTAACAGGAATGATGTTATTGTTGGGAATTGCATGTGGATATATTAACATTTGTTCCGAAAAAAGAAAATATTATTTCATGTTTCATATCCTATTTTTCTTTATTTCATATTTTTATTTTTCTGTTTGTCTGCTCTCTTAATATTTGTTATATATTCAGTCCAATGTTACTTAATTGTGTGACAAAGATTTTGCTTAAAAATCATCAACAGGACAAAACAATTTGGTATCATTGGTCTATTTTGTTGACGAGGGGTGATCAGATCTTAGTAGTTTTAGGTCATATAGAACACAGCACAATATAGATCATTGTATTGCACATCGAACTTGAGCCACACCCTTTTTGTTTCCAGTTTAAGGTTTCCTTTTATCTTTGAATGCCTAGTTCATTCGAATCAAGCCTGGCAATGTAGTAGGTTTTAGGACATAATTTTTGTGCTCAATACAATTGGGTAAATTTTCAATGAAAATGCTAATACAATATAAGTCTCAAAATTTATTTGTCAAATTGTTTATGATTAGTGAATTATCAGTCAATGAAGATTCTTTTGACTTGAAGTTTGTGCTAAAGGCTCTCATATCCATTCTTTTGTAAAGTTTGAAATTACAACAAATATAAAACAACATCAGTTTGAAAAAAATATCACAATACAAAAAATTGAAAATAGACATTACTCAATGTAATAGACCATACGTTCTTCTGTATCTATTTACTAAAGTCTGGTCATTCCAACTCAACCTAAAGTTTGACAAATGGACATACATGATTTTCAACCAAGCAACCAATTTACCAAGCAACTCTTAAAAATATAAATGAATTATATTTCTATTGTTCGGGATCCCAGCTAGAAAATCCAAGTAACAGTTGACAGTTGTTCAAAATGCATGAGGGCCATTGATTTGGTTGTATTTGCTCAGAGTACAGCTCCAACAATAGATTTGGACGTACGGTGATTTAATAGAAATTTTTAAAAAAATGTCAGCCCCAGATTAGCTGTAACAGTAATATTGGTTGGAAATCATGGAAAACCATTGAATATCTAAAATAATGGTTCTAGGAGAATGTTTTTGTATCAAATTTCAGATGGAGAAAGACATGAAAACATTTATGCTGTTTCATCGGCGTTTCTAATCCTCCTTACAAACTACTACCTGCTACTACTTCTTATATAGTATGTGTGTTCCTGCCTGTCCAATTGTGTGCCATTTATTAACATCGTCCCTGATGGCAAATCCTCTTGTTTTCCACGTCCAAGGATAGCAAGTTGCCATTGGCAACAGTAACTATATGTCCATCAAATGATGTTAGGTTTTTGTCCTTTTCTTCTGGAGTGAAAACTAAATGTGTAAACTTTCAAAATGGCTGCCATTTATCCTAAAGTCTTTCAAAATCTCTTTACAAAATTTCTTCTATTTTCGGGTTGGCTGGTATTTTCCGATTGTGCCTATCAAAGCTTATTCTGTGAATGGTTGCTAAGCTTTTGCTTTTCTTAGATGCCAAAATGAAATATCGGTTCTTTAAGACAAAGAAAAAGAATTTTAGGATCTTTCTTCCTAAGTAGAAATTCTGTGCGTTTCTGTCAAAATAGCACTATAAAATGTAGTTGCAGTGGTAGCCATTAGTACCTTGTGTTTTGAAATGCATGTTATTTGTACTAAAACATTAGAATAATCTTTCTTCTACGATTAATTGGGCAGCACCTTTCATTTAGAAAAAAAAATTGTGTGTTTTCTAGTTATTAGAAACCTATTAATAACAATGTGCATGCAATTAAAACAAGGATAAAAGGACAGTGCCAGGCAAGATGGAAAGATGGAACAACAAGATGGTGGTTAACAGACAGAACAGAAGTGGTAAAAGACAATGTTAATGATATCCATTTGTGATTTTTTTCTGTGTTCAATTTATTAATTTTTAGTAGATGGTTTCTGCTCTTGGTATGATTATATTCAATTGGCTTCGATTTCAGAAAACTTGATATATTTTGAAAAGCAAAACAATAATCAATATTAGCTGAATATACAAACTGAGTATCAAAATGTATCTTGCAAAATGTATGCCATAAGAGTTAAATTATTCTTAGAGACAACTTCTTAGATAAGAAAAGAATATTAATTTACCAATTCCATATGTCAACATGAAAAAGATTCAAAACTTTAGTGCCAACATTTAGTCTCTTCTACAGAGTATCTTCAGACACCTTGCTGATGTTTGATTTGCAACCAAAAAAGCTACATTTTTCTAAGAGAATGTTTACATCTTTGTTGCACTGTGGTGAAAATATAAGAACTTGCAACATATTCTTTTTTTACTCGTCCATTATTCATTAGAAAAATATGCAAATAACCGAATAAATAGACGTTTATTTTAGATGCATTTAGATTTAAGTAAGTTAAATGATAAAAGATATTTGTACATAAATTTTTATATTAATTGCTTATAGCCTACATGTAGTTTGTTTTTTTTTTGTAAAGAATAACAAACAGTACCTCATTTAAATCTATTTATTATTCATATAAATCCTAATGGCTGTACTTGATTTCATATCTGGAGCCTTAATTTTTTATTCTTGACATTGAGCTAGATTTGAAGTATCTTTGTATCTGATTGGTGAAAAAATCTTAAATCTGCCTCGATATATGCCTTAATGATTGACCTATGAAATGAACGGTGACCTACGAAATGGACGGTGTCAAGAAAATTAAGTAGGCATTTGTGAAAAATCGTGCTGAAAAGTTCTTGTGTGCTGGACATGCATCACAGGTATTGGTTATCATGATTGGGATTGTTGCCTGGCAACTGGAGACACAGATAATAGCAAGCATCTTTGCTCATTCTCATTCTGTTTTTGCTGTAAAAGTGATGTCAGATTATGAAATGTAGAAAGGTGTCGGTACAAACTCAAAACAAAAACCTTTCCTGTATTTAACTCGGAAACAAGCTTAATGGACAAAAGGCCAGTATTTGATAGCATTGTCAAGTAAGAAGAGAAAGAAAATGGATTTAAGCACCACTATGGCGCCAGTCTGAATCACATGTCTGACAGAGTATCCATGCTTGAGATGAATTCGATCCCAGAAATTGCTTTCAATTTGTTTAACTTAATTGAAATTGGTTTTGCATTAGAATACAGTTGTTTCAGTAACTATAGCAACGATTAACTATCATCTCATAATTTTTGTAATCATCTCATTTTGTACATTTTATTTGTAAATATAGTGATATGTATGTTATTGTTTATAGTACCTCGTTTTTAAAAGCACGTTTCTAATATTATTATTATTATTATTATTTAGCGACCAAAGACTAGACAATGGATGTATTCACATATTACATAGGAGGCATTTTTATCAACATATATCAAGTCAAATCTATGGCATATTAATTTTGGTTACCTATTCATTTTTGCGTTTTTAAAAAATTTGGACACTGGACATGTTTTCATGCTCAAGAAATTTTATGTGATTTTGTTCTTACAAAAATTCCGTGATGTTTGCCATAGATTAAAAGTTTGTAAAAAATGCCTACCACATAGTCTTAATAACTTATTATCTTTGGTAGAATATAGTTGGTTAGGGCAAGGAAGAAATGTGTTAAGAAATCCATTATTTATCATATTGGAATTTTGGGGTACATCTTTTGTATGTTCTGCTACAATGTTTAAAGAATAAAAAGAGGTTTTCTAGACTATATATGTGTATTGGAAACACTTGTAGCTTCAGTGTGTACCATTCCTGTTTGCATTTGGTGCCTGTAATTCCTGAAAATCTTAACCAGGCTAAGAAGTACTACTGTTTCAGATGGTCATATTTTCTGGAATAACAGAAAGTAATGAACAGGTAATCTGATTAATGCAAATATGAACTATAAATACACATTTATCGGCTAGTAAACCATTTCTGTTTTTTTTTACAAAAAGAGCTCTGTTGTTTACATCTGAAATATTTTATGTTAGCCCATGTTTTTTTATCAAAATTTTGAATTTCATTATTTGAATTATTTGTAATTCCCAAACTGATTTTGATTACTATTTCGATAAAGATGAAAAATTAAAATATACATGTATATTGTGAAAACATTCTGTAAAGAATAAAATAAATTCATAGTTTCTGAATTTTTTTGGAGTGGAATTTGCTTCTTAGCTGTACTTTTCTAATGTCAACAGAAACAATTCCACAAGGTTTCATACTGGTTTTAACTAGAAAAATTGTCTTAGATCTTGTCAATACACACAAGTAAAGTACCGGTATATTTATGAATATAATGCGCAAGCATTTACTACCCTTGAGTAAATCTGGGAAATCTATTTGACCGTATATAATGGATATCCCTTACTAGCATACTTTTGTTAAAATATGATCAATACTTTAGTCTCCATGGTGTTGACAAGCAAATTTTGCCTAAGTCAAGGGCAATAACTTGTCATAACATGGGTGTCTAAATCTTAAAAAGAAGTTCACAAACATTGGGTAAATTTTATGTAATGCCAAATTTGTAGGGAGCAAAAGAGGGGATTTTTATACGCCCACAAATATATGTAAGGCCTATATTGTAATCACCCAGGCGGTCGATTGGTCTGTCGGTCTGTGCACATTTGGTTCGTGCTCACTCTACAGGCTACAATTCTTTACAGATTCTTTTGATTTTGATTTTGTGTGTCAATGTCATTATGAAGATGATACCTATCATTCTTGGTGATGATCGGATAATTTTTCACCGAAATATCGTGTCTGACTTGACGTTTCACTCTTATTAGCTATATTTGCAACTCATGCTCACTCAACAGGCTACAATTCTTTTGATTTTTATTTTGTAGGTTAATGTTGTTATGAAGATGATCCCTATCATTCTTCGCGATGATCTGATAATTTTCCACCGAAATATCGTGTCTGACTTGACGTTTCACTCTATTAGCTATATTTGCAACTCATGCTCACTCTACAGACAACAATTCTTTATAGATTCTTTTGATTTTTATATGTCCACATGTAGTATGGAAGCATATTGTCATCCGTCCGTATACAATTGTCTCATGCTAACTGTACAGGCTACAATGATATGTACAATGCTGCTGGTGGGCATATGTCAAGGCTATCTTTTTCAAGATTATCATCAACATTTGGCTACCTTTAATAATAAGGTCTTGAGCTTTCACACAATCTTAATAAACAAACAAAATATAATATAAAATCTGAAAAAGTTTAATAAATATTCAAAAAAAATACAATAATGCTGAAGATTATTTATCACAGAATATATGTGTAAAACTCCTAATCATCTTCAATTACTTTTAGTAAATATATCAATTGATATTGATATGAACAAGCACAGTTTAAAACAAGCTAAATTTTGTTTTAAAACTACATACCCTGATAGCAAACTGTGATATCAGATGATATCGTCCAGAAGAGACATTTCTTCTCATCCAGGTCCGATTCAAAGCGTTAAAATAAGCAGTCCACTTTATTTGTAGGTAGAATAATAGTAATAATAACTATACAGACTAAACTTATATTGGTTCATTATTACTTAAACTACCTAGAAATAAAATGGACTGCTCGTATCTTTGTTTTGAATCAGAACTAGATATATATAAAAACTGTAACAGCATCTTTAAAATGGAATATAAAAAAAATACATTTCAGAAGACAATTTAAGCTGATGTAGTTTGAGATATTTTTCTCATTTTGGTAGCCAAGAAACTGAAAATTTGTCAGAAGATCTTTCCTAAGATAGTTGCATATGACAAATTTTAACAAATTGGTTTGTTAATGTAATTTGAGCCAATCGGAATGATATATATAATAATAAAGGACTATCACAAAGTTTAGATAGTTCTGACAAAAGACTGGATATTATGATCACTTGATGACTGATATAGGTGTATTTTGAGACTGGCGTGTTGAATATAATCTAGAACCACCACTAGATAAAGTTATTTCATAAGGATCAGAATCTGTATAAACTCTGGTTCTTTCATCTACAATGTAAAAGTATATTGGTTAAATTGTGATGGTTTGTACATCTTGTATAGTCATGTACTTGATCACAGCAACATTGTCTGTCCATTTAATACACATGTACTTGTGTATTATGTATTTTTCTGTATGATATATTGTGATGGTTTGTACATCTTTCGTGGTCATGTACTTGATCACAGCATTTAATACACATGTACTTGTGTATTATGTATTTTTCTAGATGATATATATATATTGTTAATTGAGATAGCCTGTACATCTTTTGTGGTCATGTACTTGATCGCAGCAACGTAGTCTGTCCATTTAATACACATGTGCTTGTATATTTGTTAAACAGGTTGTCCATCGAGGTATTGTGTATTTTTTTTTTTCATTCATTATATTGTCACCATGGGCTGAATGTAAGACAGGACCATGTTCTTGTGTATTGGGCCTAATTCTACGTAAAAAGGGTCATTCAACAGAATGGCATTGTGTAGCCGATACATAAAAATCACTTTGCAGAATATTTATCTTTAAACACACATGGCATAGTTCTTGTTTAATTTTCTGCACTAAAATCACAGCATATTGTTTTTTCATTAAATTGTTCAATAAATGTTGATAGATCACTAAAGCACTAAACCTATCACATGTTATGTAAGTAATGCTGATGAAAATCTAGATTTACCTATTTTATGTTCAGAATGTGCACTGGTAGCTAAATCTTTCCATCCTGTCCAATAACTGAAACAAAATAAAATGAAGTGTTCCTAATTTCTGTATCTAACTGAGCTAGAAAAGGCGGGGAGGCGTGCATGCAACAACAGATATTTCAAATTTCCTTACCGCTAACTTCAGACAGAACTTTAACTTTTCATATGAAAGTTTTAGTGATTGTAATGAGCAGAAGTCAAATGAAAAATCAAAAGGTAATGTTTTAACCTTTGCCAGAACTGAACCAAGATCTTCATTATTGCAAGAAGTCACATAATTTGATGAGCAAGATGAGCAAACGTGGCACAATTAAGTTAAATGAAATTGTAAGAGTTTGATTGGAGGTCATAGAAACGAAAAACATACTCATCAAAATTGAGACTGGTGGTCCAATCTAACAGTTCATCTACTTCCCATTCTTCTAATGCGTCTGTTCCTATATTATCTACTGTTGCTACCATACCAGCAGCAGCGCCCTCTATCAATCTGATAGTATCTTCATCAGCAGTCTTAGCTTTTAACATTCCTTCTTTATACCTAATATTTCAGGTACGAGGTTAAAAATATCAAACTAAAAACAGAGTTACACACTGTGTAATTTTATTGCCTGGTTAATATGATTAAATTACAAATTGGATTTTTAGTTTCGTATTATTTCTGAGAGTGCCTCCACATACCATCCACCATCTGATGAATTTGTTATACAGTCCTGATTCAACCAATCAAATGGATTCATACGCCTGAAGCATAGAAATAATAACTATGTTCTGTTGTCCCTCACTTCTGACATTGTTGAGAAATCTAATTGGCTACTTACATTTTCTTCATCCAATCAATTTTCTTTCGTTTCTTTCTTTTTTCTATATCTTGTTTCCTCTGAAGCTAAATTTCACATCAAATTATATTTTCACTCTATGTACAATTTCTTGCAATGGATTTTTTTAGTTGGGTCATAAATCCTCAAATCTTTCAGTAAATTTTATCTTTATCCAGCTGTTAATGGATACAGTTAATCCCCAAAATAAGATCAATGCCAAAATGCATTAGCATGTTCTATCGATATACTATAGAACCCTGGTATAAATGAGTAAAAAAAGTTATTTTTTAAACTGTATTCAAAATGAAATATTAAGGCCTCTGTCTGAAGTTGTTTTTGCACAAAATTATGACTGGGCATTTGCCATTACAATAGTTTTGAAATTTTAAGAGACCAACCTTATCATGGTGAAATTCATATTTTTTATTAGAAGTTTCCCAGGTAATAGGATCAGACATTATATGATGTATTAATCTATCTGATACCAGACGCCATCCATTATTCTCTACACGCTGATACCAACCACTTTTATCTATAATATAACATGAAATTACTAGGAGTTTTACATCTTATTTTCTGCACTTGCATGATCAAATATGTCATACACCCCATATGGTGGACAGTGAGGCAAAAATGACAAGGACAGCAGTGTCTATATTATCTCCCTTCATAACTAGCAGGCACTGCTGAACTACTGTTAGATATTTTAAATGATTATAAAATCTGAACTATACCTGAAAATTTTCTCACATAATTGAACCACAGCTACAAGCATGAATTAAAAAGATTTGCCCTCATATCTTAAATTCCCTTTTCCTATGAATATCATCATGATACAACCCTCAATACTATAAGCTTATGCTAATAATGTTTTTACTTCACCTAAAGGCTTTATGATATAGAAATTGTACTTGTTTGACAACATTAGTATACTTAGTTTGCTGAATTTATGTATAGCACTCAATTATAAATCTAATTTCAAAATATATTATTTAAATAAGAAAAGGATCTTACCTGTGTTTTTTGGTAGTTGAGTCTGCCTAGTTTTATTATTTTTATCAAAAGCCATGAGATGTTTGGTGGAAGCTTTAGTATAATCTTTAGGACTATTAGCACACATATCAACTATTGGTCTATGAGTAAATATTTTATAGTATATATTTGGTGGAAATCTGTCCTATAAAACACGATAAAAAAGAATATCAAGCCTTTGATAAAAAAAGGTACAGCTATACAAATTTGACATAGGGCAAATTCTCAAAATTAGCAAACCACAAATGACTCTGGATGAACTCCCCCAAAAATAACCATAACATTTGGATATTACGTCAGGCAAGTCAATAGTATGAAATGAATTGAAATGAATAGAGTTTTCTGTCCTACTTTTCTGCACCTAATGGGCTAATTGAACAAACATCATGCAGTGTGTAATGAGGGTAATTTTGACAGGACAGCGGCATTAGCCTGATCTTTCTGGATTTCCAATAGTCAACAGCATAAGATTTATTTGGTTCTGATTTGAGACTTACCCCAGCTAACCTAAATCTGACATGAACTCCAGTAGCAGGATCTAATAGTTTAGATTCATTAGGATTAATACACCTCAACATCATTGAGGGATCACCTTGTGTTTTAAAATTGATAAGATCACGATAATACTTATATACTTGTACATCCTATAATAGAAAAATATAATTTTTTCCATGCAAACAACTACCTTTTCCTTGCTAGTCCCTGAGATAGGCATCTGATTGAAAAGTAACATTAACCAAGAGCTATTAGAAAGGTTACTATGGTGTATAACTGCTATGATTTAATTTTATGTGGTTTATCATTCATGCTTTTAAGATCATAAGAAGCAAAATGCTGATCTTGATGCTTTAGGTTTTCCTGAGGGCAACACAACTTGGCTTTCCTTGGGAACTATAACATTGAACCAATCAAACTCTCAATTCAACAACAGTTTTATCCACCCAATGAATGGATTTCTGGGATATTCATTGATGGACATTGTCTTGTTTTGTTTTGACAGCCTAAATATATAACTTTGATTGGTTAACATAAATCATGTCATATTTAGATCAAAATTTGACAATTTATGCCTTAATCAGCAAAAAAAAACAAGAGAAACTTACAATATGGCGTCTCCAGGATCTCTGTATTTTGGAAGCTGCTTCATTTCGACTGAGTAATATTTTCTCTTTTTCAGCTTTGAGAGCTTGAACATGTTGCCTAAATGCTTCAAAAACCACATCCTTCACATTTTCAGGTTTTTTCTGTACTACTTTAGTTTTTTTAACAGTCCTAGTTTTTTTCACTCTTATTTTTTCCTTCTTTTCTTTTGGTTTTTTAACTTTGATGATCTTTTTCTCAATAACTTTGGGAGCGTCTGGTTCTTGTTGTTCTACTTCCACCTCTACTTCAACTTCCTCTTCTATCTCTTCTTCTTCTTCATCTAGAATAGAAATGGTTGAGATCTATCTGTGCATTGATTCTGGATCTTATGACATCTATACTAAAGGTGTGTTCACAACTTCAACCAATCAAAAAGTAAGAATTTGAATTTGTGGGATATGGTGAATGCTGATTTGTGCATTGAACATATTTCTTACAGGGATTTACTGATTTGCACTCTTACATAGCATTTACCACTTTCTTAACCAAAGCCAAACTTCAGGAAGTTTCAGGAAGGCAGGCAGTATTTGATTTCTCCCAAATGTACAAGCCAAGAGTGGTACAGATACTTAAAGAAATTGGAGCAAGTAATCTTATCTGGTGGTTCAGATTAGTGATATTTTTCAATTCTAATATAGTGCCTTTCAAAAACAATTGTATTTAGGTTGAAGGATGAGCTTACTGTCTTCTTCTTCAGTTTCTTCATATTCCTCTTCCTCTTCATATTCTACCTCTTCCTCCACTATCATATTACCACCATTCATTTCTTTTAGCATTCTACGCCACCAATTCTGTATAAATGCTGCACAGAAACCAGCAAACCTTAAATCGAAATTGAAGGTGATAATTAACATTTCTGTTAAATTATTTTCTGAGGATTACCTCAGAGATGACAACATTATTATGAAGTTGATGCGATGTTGAAGCACTGGCCATGTTTTACTGTTTAAGGGACAGGTAAGCCATTTTTTTCACCATTAATACTTAAGCCTAAGAAACAGGAATTTTTTAGCTAAGCCAATCAGTAATAGTGTTCAAAGCTCACGGTCAAAATTTGAGCCTCCAAATCCATGTGTGACCAGAATAATTGGTTGAATTTATAAAATTGCCTTTTTATTAATGATTTCTATTATAGGATGAATGAAGATACCCACAGAAAACATATGAAACATAATATCTATAGCTGTATTAGAATTAGATTAATTGCAAGTAAAGATGATAAAGCAGTTTTGCTTGATGAACAAGAAGTCATTCAGATATACAGTAATTCAAAAGTGAAAGCTGGATAAAATCATAAAGGCAAGTTCTATTAAACTGGAAGTGATAAGACAGCTTTTGACAGACATGAAACATCGAACAACATAAAATAAGAAAAATAAATCTTAAGAAGCATCAAAATGGGGAAAAAAAAAATGACTGACTTAAAGATGGTCTCTATTGGAGCTTGTTCTTCTCTCTTCTGTTTAACATATTGTTTATATTTCTGTTCTAGTTTTCTCAAACCAAGAGTCTTCCTTCTGAATGGCTTCATAAGATATAAATATAAATAATCTATTATACAATCTAACTGTCTTGCAAAAGGGTCAGTTTGTCATCCCAAGGATCTGCATCCTTTGTGCCGTAGGTCATGATGATACCTTCAGATTTTTCATAAAGGTTTTTTTTTGATGCAGATCAATGAGACTGACATGGTAAAATATCATTTATTTGGATGAGACAATAAACCAAAACTATCTTTCACAAGCTGATTAAAATTAGAGCCATATGCACCAGTTACTCAGAGTAATCGATAGATTCTAAGGCTCTAGCCATTTAAGCTACAGTCTGTTCTCAAAGTTCTTCTGGTCTCAATGTAATCACAGACAAGTAGCTCAGAGAGATATGGGATAAGCTAATGTGTGAGGAACTACATCCAATTCACAAACTAATGCCTTACCTTTACTCTTTGTCTTGAAGGTATGATAGAAGCTGGTACAGAAACAGTGGAAGCTGTCTGTTCAACCTCCTCTTCCTCTTTATCAGTGTCTTTTAATCTCTTAGCATCTGATATACTATCACTACATAGAGCTACTTTACTCAGCATAGGTTCATATACATCATATATATTACATCTAAAATATGTTACATGCCAATGTTAACAATCAACTATGTGCAGTCAAAGTTTTCAGTCACAGAATGCAGGGATTTGATTGGATTGACAAACATTAATTATCAGTAAGGGTCATAGTTTACAGACTTTTTGTCAAGGGCTGTATTCGCTATTGTACATTGCAATCAAATCGCTGTAATCTGTGATACAAGAGAAGTGGATACTGCAGTCAAGGTATAAGAACTTGGTAATAGCTTGACATTGTGAAGATGCCAGCAGATGAAAATAAAGTGAGCTAATGTGTATGATGTTTAGCCTTTATTTGTTTAGGTTTAGTACCATATCATATCATATCATAACATATATCATATATTATATATCGTATTTCATATCATATTAAATCATATCATATATCACATTATCATGTCTTATCATATATCGTATATCATATGTCATATATTATATCATATCATATATCACATATCATATAACATAACATATTATCCTATATCATGTCATATATTATATCATATCATATATCATATAACATAACATATATTATCGTATATCATATGTCATATATCATATCATATCATATATCACATATCATATCATAACATACATTATCATATATCATATATTATATCATATCATATATCACATATCATATCATAATATTATACATCTATTTGTTTTCTTTTGTAAGCTTATACTGAATAATAATGTTTGATGATGTGAATACAAACCTGCCCCGATAGCCTCTCCAATGTCTTTGAATCTCAATGGCTGCACACAAAAAAACTTCATCATTATCTTCTTGATCTCTGATAATTTGCTACATATACAAATGCAATAATTAGCATTGGAAATGTTTCAGAATATAATTAATAAAAGAATATTTATACTTCCAAACACATTTTAACATCTATGTAAGAAGTATATCATGTGTTTAAGGTATCTTCCTAAACAAAAGTACAGAATTCCTTTAGAGCGAACAAGTATTGAATTTTGTCAATATTTTCCCATTGATTTTGTGTGCCTTAAACAAAATTTATCTCTTAAATCTCACAATCTCACACACTAGACAAAATCAATCAGTCAGAAATTGCAGTCATCAGAAACAATAGCTTAGTAATGTCATGAATTTTGGGGGTACCAAACTTTATCATATCTAAGATTATGTAATGTATAATAATATCTTATAGAGATATGAATTCCTGGTTTGGGCCTTGCATTAAATCCACAATAATTGAGCCTCAACTCAACTCTGATATCATGGTACCAAGCGGCATGGTCTTGAATTGTTGTAAGCTTATACAACTTGAAATTATGGTTGATAATTTTTTTAGCACCATAGTAAGCTTATACTGACCTTTCTTACTGAGGGTTCTAACAAAGCATATTGATGGACAGCTTCTAATTCTCCTTCTGTTAAATACGTATAGAAACAATTTAAAACGAATTCATCAATTCTACCACAACAGTAAATTTAACATTTATTACCACATCTAACATTTCGTTTGGTTTTATGTTAGTAGCGCAAATATGACTCGTATAGCTTTAAAATATTGTGCTTCAAAACACTTTTCCAAGTGTGTAGTCACTCGGAAGGAATACTGGCTGCTCTTCAAGAAAAAAATGAGTCTAACATAAGCAATGTTGAGCAATTTCTAACATAAAGAGAATTTTAATGCTATTCATATGGGTATTGATAATGGAATATCATTGTAGCATAACCAGGCTTCTGTAGTTTCTTTTGGGCACTAAGCTTTTATGGTTAATTATTTTCAATCTAGAGTGGTTTATCCTTTATTGTTCAAAAGCTAAATTTCACAAAAACCCAAATCAAACTTATGTAGCATAGATATCTTACCAGGAAATTCTGACTTCAGTAAAATATCCTTTGCTGTGCTGTACTTCATATTTTAAATGTAGGTCTGACTTGAAGAATGGTCTTATATTTCTTACTGGTAATGAAATCAACTTTCAATGAGTCTAAGGGAAGAAAATAAATATAATGTGCCATTTTATGGTGGTGTTAAGGGTGCTCGCACACAAAGACAAATTGTAGCCCATCATGTGCTTGTGATTTTTAGTGTGCATAACATTTTCACTCTTCTTCATCATCTGAACTGTCACTATAGTAGTCCAGCATTAGCTCTCAGTGATAGGGGCACATTGTGCGCAGAGTAGTGGATAAGCATGCCATAGAAGGGGATGTCCTAAATTCTCTCTGTGTACGGGGGCCTTAACATTAATATCTACAATTTTTACTCTACTACTACACTAGACAATGTATCATCAGTCCCTTTGACCTGCAACACAGGTTGAAAAATATCCTGACTTATGCCAGAAGGACCCCTGGGTCCTCAAGTAAGTCAAATTCAACGAGCCACCGTTGCCCCTACAATTTTTTACAGAAAATTTGTAATAACATGACATGTAACATTGTAACATTAGGTATTATTATTATTATTATTAGGCTAATGTTATCATCAATGTCATAAAAAACAAAAAGCTTTTGTTTTAGCTAGTCTAACAAATAGACATTGTAGGTAGGCTGTATATACCTTTTTAGCTAACCGTCTACGATTTTAGCCAACTTATAAAGTATGTTATAACAAAGACCCCTTATTTCTCATCAACGACATCGGTTGGGTGGCAATTCCAATCATTTTTAAGGTGTAATTCTTCATAAATTAACATCATCAGACTGTTTGTTTACATTCTATAAAACAACTCAATTGAGATGCTGCGTTGCTAATTTCAACAAATCTTACTTCCGGAATACTGATCATGCGTATTTGATACAGTGTTGCATTTCTACGGATTGAAATGGGAATATAAACAGGATAAAATAGAGTTGCTCCCCTTGCATTAAAAGCTCTATACATGGACTCACTCCACTAATTCATTTGCCATCTCTTCCCATGTTAAAACACGAAATTCAACCTTCTATAACTTTTTCCAGAAATCTCGTTGAAAGCTTTCCAATATGTCGAATGAAAGCCTGACCAATTCTCAATGTCTCCTAAAAAATTCATTATATGATGACCATGAAAATTTTGAGCTACTAAAATTGAAAGTAGACTACTACCGGTTATACTCATCCGCTAGAGTTTGGCACTTCACAAAACGACTATTTTTAGAATTAGCCTTCCGCCTTTAAGTCTCTCATCATCTCACCAAATCTGAAAGATAATGCAATTTCAGACATCAAATTCCAAATCTAGACCAAATTTTACCCAAAAATAGGCAGGCAAAAACCCCAAAAGGGAGAGAGAAAGAAGATTTCTAAAAATAGCCTGGACTACATTCCTATACAATCATTTGCATAAAATGTTTTAGTGGAGTGAGTCCACATCCCCACTAAGTTATAGTTATTTATATAGATCAGTGTGAATCCTATAGTGGTGCAACAAATTGCTGACTTCAGCTTGGCATCATAGAGTTGTGTAATATGTATGGGTATGCTATAAATACAGTTCATTTATCAAAAGTTTTAACTGTAAGGGCATCAGTTTAGATCTTCAAAGTTTTGTTAACCTTGTCTCATTATTTCAGTCAATCTGATGTTTGCTGTGGTCTTTCCACGAACTATTAATATCAGGATTTGATTCAGTTATCCATGTAGGCATTAATAACTCCACTCTTTCTGCAGTAAACAAAATAACAAGATTTAAAAGGTTTATTTCATAAAGTGAACATGATCTATAGTACCATATTGGCTAATCTACAATTTAATAATGTATTCAAAAACTAAGGTTCACATCTATTCACAAAGCTATTTTTTGAACTACCAAAATATAAATTTAAATCTATTCAACCTTCAAATAAACAAAGGAATTCCATGAAATGAATAAATGTCTTGCGCCTTAGACACACTAAGTCTTACAATGAAAATCTACCTAATGTGAAAATTTACAAGTTATTTGATTAACAGATCAAAAGATTTTGTGATGTTTTATGTGATATTGTGGTTTTGTATATAAAGTCTGGATTTCTCAATCCAGAAAAAAAATACTGTTAAATAATAATAACTTCTTATGTCAAAAAACAGAAAAAAGACAAAAAAAAAAATCAATACTGATACTTATATATGGATAATACAATAATCATATTATCAAAAAACATATTATGCACAAAATTGATTAGTTTGCCTCATTCATAACCTATGATAGTCTTATTTTTCAATCTCATACTATCAAGATTTTTTAACTTGCACAAACTGAAGCATTCACAAGCCTAGGTTCATTAACACATCAGAAACACTTGTCACTTTTTCCAATTCAAGCCCTTCTGATGAGATATTGCCCCAAGAATACAAACTTATGAACGACTAATTATTCCAAAATGACCATCAATTGTTTGACATAGACAAATAATACAACTAAATATGACCACAACATCAATTGACGAATAAATTCATCATAATATTTTATACAATTAAACTGAGTGTAAAGTCTCAGAAATCCACATTATATAACAACACTTATAACAATACATAATTGAGTATCATCATTTTTTTTTATCAGGAAATAAACATCCGGACCATTGATATGGTTACATCTATCATATACAATATAAAAGATAGTGGATTACATCCAGATACACCCACTTCAGGTGGTTTAACGAAAAATTTTAGATTTTACACGTACCAAATTTTATCAATGTCAGTTAAAAGTTTCTGTAGCATTTTAGCATAGGGTACTTGATTTTAAATTTAAGAGCGTTTTTGAGACCAGACGAAGGGACGAATATCCAAATAATTTTCTGAAAGGAGAATGTTTAAGTGATACTACGTCTTAGAATTAACATAAAATATAAGAATTTTAAACTTGGCAAATAAGAGCCTGTAGATATACCTGATGTCATAAGTAACAAAACAGGATCCTTATATAATCCAACAGACTTAGTAATTATCCATAAATATGCAATTTACTATTGAAAAATGCTTAATATCGAGATTAAGCGTTTTTCAATAATTACTTAGTTTTAAGAATTTTCCAATTTTCCAGTTTGATGACAACAGGTAAGCTAACTGATGAATATATACTCCTATTGACCATTTTGAGAACTTAAATTTTATGTTCATTCTAAGACGTAGTATCACTTTAAGTTAAGTATTATAACATACGATTTTCACTCTGAAAGTGATTCAGACAACCGCATTGAACTATTCTGGTGAAAATTCTTACTTCTTCACATGATAAAAATGAGATTCTTTCATAAACAAACATAAAACTTTCATACATATTACATTTACTGATCTTTTTTAACTTCTGTATTCACTGGAGTTGATTTTTTCACATCAAGCTTGTCTTTTTTATCAAATACTGATTTTGGTTCTGAGGCTAAACTTTGTAGGAAGATTATAAAACGACAAGTTAATAAGAGGGCAAACACAATTGCTGGGCTCATCTTCTCTAATCCTTCATCTAAAGCATAATGAGCATACACATCATTTAATGTTATTCCCAACAGTATTAAGTTGGCAACTTCTTTAAAGGGACCTGAAATAAATAATTGTAACTTAAAATCTTGGCTCTTTCTTAACTGATATAATTAAAATGGCAGTGTGCACTAATTGACAGAATGTCTTGAAATAAAAATATCATAGTTGTAATAAGTAATAAAGGATAATGGCTTATGGCTAAAATTTATTTGACAATTTGAAAAAATTAATACCTAATGAAGTTCATAAATAAAGATAAGGTAATCTACTGACAATAATTGCACAAAATTCACTTCATAATAGCATAAAAGTTAAGGCATACCTATTGTCCAACTTCTAGGAAGAAAAGCCATGAATATACCACCAATGACTTCTGCAGTACCAATTGCCTTTCTGTAAGTATGTGGGTTTGGTTTCCACCCTGTTTGCTTCACCAGTGGAAAAACTTTTGAATTTCTTATGTATGTTTTTCTCTGAAATAAGAATTGTTGATGAGATCCTTATGATGAAATGGGTGCTTGGTGGAGCTCTATTTTGCAAAACCTTTACTATGGAGGAATACAAGACAACCAAAATCAATCATGATAAGACGGAGATGAAGACTATTGGGCAGTAAAATTGCAGAAACCACAGATGTCTAGTTGAAAAATGGAAGCGTGCAAATTGATGGCTAACTAAGACAGAAAACCTCTTTACAAACCCCTTAAAGGAAAGGATATTTACCATGTCTTTGTATATTTCAGCATTTACAGACGGTGTTAATTTGATGGTGCCAACAAATATAAAGAACAATCCAAGAGTTATTGACAAAACCTTCAACACAATTGAAGTCATATTTGTCCGAAAAGTATCTTAACCGAATAGATAAATATTTGTTGGAATGGAATGAAAGAAAGGAACCATGCGACTTCCGGTTGGAGTATTTAAAAATCGATTCAAGATCACATCTAAAATAAAACGAATTATTACACTGTTGTACACTTTATAACAGTATTTGGCTTCAAATGTACTATTATTCTTAAACCACACACATGAAGTATATTATTCATATATTATTCATCATATTATTGGATTTTTAGAAAGATATAGAAAGAGGTACGCAAAAATTCCATATTTAATCCGTTATTTCATTAGCACTGTTATCTGTTATCTTCACGTTCTGCAAATAAAAATATGAATCATCTGAATTAACATTAAATTGTGATTATGAATATGATGCCCTACTGAGAACATCTTGTATTACATTGTTATTAAGGTAGAAATTACACAAATTTGTGACAATCACGTTGTTTGTGTTAGTTATGCTTTGATAATGGTACTTTGTCTAAAACGTTACCACAATCAATCATCATTGACATCAAACTTTCCATACATTTAGGCCTAGCATTGATTGGCTCTAGGCCTACTGGCATTACTGTGGCTTCAGACAAGGATTCAGGAGGCCTGTTTCCCGTTTCACAAAAAATTATAAGAGTTATGATTTAAAACTCTATGATGTAGGTTTCGCCAGCAAAGGGTGCTCACTAATCTTCTGAGTTTTGACATGGTTATCTAAGCCTAGCCCAGTTTTGAAAGTTGAATGAAGGTCTTGTCTGTATAACCTTAGGCTTAAGGAACAAACGTCATTTGATTATTCTGAAGTCTACAACTGGAACATTTTGGGTACTAAAGTGCTTTTTTCGATACAATGGTTCATGAGTGGTCGTATGATTTTCTGTGAAATGGGACCTAAGAGTCCTACCCTGGCATATCTCAAAATTTTATCAGTGTTAGAGGATTGCAAGGAGTAGTAATGTAATATGTAAATCTTAAAATATCTGATACTGATATAGTTTTTTTTTGTATTATCTTACTTAAAATTGTCCAAGGCCTATTGACTTAATTCTTTTATTCGTCCATTCAAAATTTTCAAAAGCAAATGCTTGAATTTCTTAATGATAATATGTCCCTGTATTTTTGTCTAGGTTTAGTTTAAATACCATCTCTACTCAATAATTTTCCTCATTCCCGGTTTTAATGACAGAAGCGAAAATATAGAATCATAGCATACTTAGATATCTAGATTTTGCACAGTCCAAAAATCAACCACCATTATCAACTACTTTACATGAAAGATGCTAAGACATTTTGAGAACAAGCTTAAGGATTACGAGGCAGGTAATCAAGTGATAGTTGACAAAGAAAAATGGAAGTTAATATGTGACCAGATTGTTGGACAAATTAAAGCAGGAATTCCTGCAACTTTACAGAACTGTAATGGGGGACTTTACATTGGATGTGCTGGTGTGGCATACATGTTTTATCGCTTTCTCGATAATGATGTCTTAAAGCCAAATGAATCACAATTTTCTAATCAAGCAGAAGAATATTTGTCTGTGGCGCTGAATTATGCTGAATCAAAACATAACAGATATCCAGGGCCATCATTTCTTCTGGGACCTGCTGGTGTTTATTGTGTTGCTGCTTTATTCTTTCATAAACAAGGTGATATGAAAAACCGTGACCATCTTATACAGCAATTTGCCAAATATTCAACTGAGTGTTTAAAACTGAACTATATGAAAGATGGATCAGATGAGTTATTTGTTGGTAGAGCAGGCTATTTGTGTGCATTGTTTACCATTAGAAAACATACAGGTTGTCCTGTAAGTATTGATACTGATTCAACTTTGTTTACTTAAAATCTTCAATTTTGGCATAAAATTGCCCTCAGTTTAAAACTAATTCCAAAATGATAGGATGCCAATCTGAAACTGATATTCAAATTCATGATATGAAAATATATTGTAAAATTCAATTTACAGAGAAAAGATCACAAAGTATCCAAATAACTAGAATATCTTAGAATCATACAGAAATATTATGTAATAAACTTAAGTTTCAATACTCGAATTTTACAATATTAAATGGTTTTTTGTTCTAGGTTCTAGAAGATTCAGTGGTTAAAGCTATATGTGATACCATTATACAGTCTGGTAGGAACTATTCTCAACAAAGAGGTTTAAAAATACCATTAATGTATGCTTATTACAAAGCAGAATGTATTGGTATGTCAACATCACATTAGTTTACTGGGTGCAATCCATTTCATTTCTTCTTATTGTAGCCTTTGAAGCAGTGATTGCAAAGTGACATTATGTCTGTGCCTTTTTGTATTTGTCCCCAAATAGTATCAGCATGAAAAGGATGTCTCCAGATATCGAAAGTGAAATTAGGATTGGAAGCACGGTCTCAGGTAGTATGGAGTACAAAATGCTGCAAAGTTAGCAGAGGCTATAGTTATGAGATGTTGTTCATATTGTATTTGGATTGTTTTCTTTTCATAACCTGTGGCACATCTAACGAAAAGTGAAAATGTCCCCATTTGGGAATATGTCAACATAATATGGTTGAAAACCTACGTATCGACTAAAAGCTGAAAATGTATTATATAATATTAATCTTTTGTTTCTTTCTGATATTCACTATAAAAAGACAATTTATCTTAAGTAATGTATTTTACTTGATGTCAGATCAAATCTTTAACAAGGCTAATTCATTGTGATTATCATATAAATCAAGTTGAAATTGTATTAATTTTGAATTGGGTTTATTTTATATAAGCAATAAAGATGCTAATTTCAGTGATAAAAAATAGAATGTTGTGTAGGAGTTTTATCTATAAATTATATTTTATATCTAATGTACATACTGTAGATCTTGCTTTCACATCTTAGAACAGCAAGCCCTTATCTCCTTAAAATGATTGATAATTGTTGCAAATCTAATCTAAAAGCAGTTTTCTTGCCTATTTACATCATATTTTAGCATTACTTTGATTTCCATCAAAACTGTGTGGTTTCACTTATTTTCCAGGAATTAATGAAACCGTATATGTCAGACTTTCTGAGGATGTCTAAAAACCTTTGATCGGACTCTAATCTGACCTTATCTGACTCTTATCTGACTCTTATCTAACTCTCATCTGACTCTTATCTGACTCTTATCTGACTCTTATCTGACTCTCACATGTTTAGACTGATATTGGTTTAATAATTTATTGCAGGTGCAGCCCATGGTCTATCATCTATTCTACAATTTTTATTAAGATTCTCACAGTTTTTAGATGAATCTAGTTTAAATGATGTAAGACAGAGTGTAGATTTTATATTGAGTATTGAACAGTCTAATTTTAACTATCCACAATCAGTAGATGAAATATCACCCCATGGCAGACCAGATAATGATGAGTTAGTCCATTGGTGTCATGGTGCACCAGGTAAATCTATTTTATTGCAGTTTAGTTGCTAGAATACTTGCTTGCTAAAGATGGTGTGTATGGACACGTTCGGATAAGTATAGACAGATTTATATAAGAGACTACACTCGACACTCTCTTTGATGAAACTAATGTGCAATTAGATAGAATCCTGATTTTGCAGGAGAACCTAGTGTAATATATCTATTCTCGAAAGTGCTAAGGGTAGCTGAAAATATTCACATAAATATATTGTTTACCTGTTGCCCTAATTCTAACCTTGTTATCATTCTAGGAGTGGTGTATATGTTTGCTCAGGCGTATAAAGTATATGCAGATGAAAAGTACCTAAAAGCCTGTCAACGTTGTGCTGAATTAGTGTGGCAGAAAGGTTTACTAAGGAAAGGCCCTGGAATATGTCATGGTGTAGCTGGTAGTGGTTATGTCTTCTTACTTCTCTACAGGCTCACAAATGATCCAAAATACCTTCATCGGGCTGTTAAATTTGCAGAATTTTTATCCTCAAGTGAGTTTCAAAGTGGTGCTCGAACACCAGACTCCCCTAGCAGTTTGTACGAGGGTTGGGCTGGCACTTTGTGTTTCATTAGTGACTTGATGCAGCCAGAAAAAGCTGAGTTCCCTTTCTTTGATGTGTTTTAGAAAACATTTTCATATGGAGCTCATAACCAATTATTATTTTAATCAGAGTAATCCCATTTTATGTGTAATTGCTTAAATTGCCTTGGCCATGATTCTACTTATAATATCACTAATAACTCATGAGTTAAATTTGAATGTTATTCTATAAATTATTTACTTACTAAGATGCTATATACCAGTTGTCAATTCTATACGGATCAGAATGAAGCTTGCCAGACCAGGTAATATACTGGCAGCTTTGATTTTAAATGAAAATATTTAGCAGTACAGTTACAATCACCTTCAATCATACACTTCTTTTGAACTCTTTAGGGGGATACTGAATAATGTTGAGTATGAGTTATTGCCCTTGTTCTTGAAAAGAGGTTCAATTTTTAGCTCGTGAAAACTCTAGAAGGCAAATATTTAATCTTCTGTCTTGTGGAGTGTTTACGAGAAATTGTGGGCGGAGGGACGGACATGGGTGACGGCAATATACGCCCCCATTTTATGGGGCGTATAAAAAGGAAGCACATTCACAAGGACAACCAAAGAGGTTGTTCAGAATCCAGCTGGGATGGTCGCCATGGATCGTCACCATGGATCATTGATTTGATCAATCAAATGACAAAAAGATTGCATGATTGATGATGTTGTCTCTGTGATGTCAATAAATTTTATCTAAACAATGATTTTCCCTTATCCCAGGTCGTACTCTATCCAAGATGCAACAAGGATGCTCTTAGAAACGAATATCTATATACTGCTCACTGCAATGACACTTTTCGAGGCTAGAATAGGCCAAAAGACTTAAAGAACCTTGTGTTCCTTAAGAGAGGGTTGAAGAATAACCTCAGGGCAAGTTCAGCAGTTAAAGTCATTGGTTTGTAATAAATAAACCAAATCAACAATATGAAAAGCAGAATACAGGTAAGGAATAAAACAAATATTACCGGAAAAGGTAGCCTTTTAATATCTGACAGTGGATACCTAAGATACAATTGAACAGCAGCTAGTTTTAGGGAAGTTATTATCAATGTTTGATAAAACCCATCTCCCTCACCAAGTTTCTTTTCTACAACAATTCACAGCTGTATTGTAAACACACGATAAAACAATATATTCATTAACTAAAGCCAAGACAACAACATACGCCTTTTGTTTCAGACAAAAACACCTTATTTATCATCAAACAAACATAAGAATTGGAAATTTCATCTCCTAACAAGTAAACATGTATTGCGATGAAAAATGACTGAAAAACTGAAATGTATAGGTTTCACATAATGCCCTCATTAGTAATAAGAAACATTATACATGTATTTGTAAGGAGATGATTTTCTCAAGATCAGACATTCATATGGGGAGGTTCACATGACTAGTTTAAATATCAAAGCTTCACATTTTGATACTTTAGATACTTGGCATTGTATTTCTAGCTCTGTAGAGAATTCAATAGTTACATGTGAATCTACTCAAGTTAAGAAGGTAAAGATACAAGGCTGACATTATATAAAGAATTAGGTTTTGGAGTCAAACACAAGACAATAAGAAATTTTACTGTACATCTTGTACATTTTTCAATGACAAACATAAATTTAGAACTGTTTCCTACAGTTAAAAGGAGAGTCCTTAGAGAAGTTATGGACTGTTAATTTATCCAATCAGTTCTGACTGATGCTGAAAAAGGACTCGGTACTAATCTTAGCCTTAGTATCATTTTTATGTTTTGAAAAAATAGACTAATTTGTACTTGAACACAACCAATACATAACAAAAATCCATTTTGTAGTGTATTGCACTAAACATAAAAATACAGAAATAAAATAGCACTTCTTGTGTTCTTGTGAATATAAAATGGAAACAAAATGGCTATTGCTGCCCAATCTTTCTTTTTCTATTACTCAAGAAACAAAATCAATACAACTTGAAATATTTTCTGTCCTTGTCTATTTGACTTAAAACATAAATGAATTTTACGAGAGAGAAAAAAAACCTTATTCCAAGAAACATATAATTGTAAATATGATCAGCAAGTCCTCAAAATGTCTGGTGGGTTAAAAATAATAACTAAGGGCACATGAAATTAACTTCAAAGAAATAATATAGTATCTTTTTGATGGATGAATTTAGTATCAAATTTTTTTCATTTTTTTTTCTTCAGGGCGAAATGGCAGTACCACACCAAATTGATTTGTAGCTCATCAGAATTTTCACTTTTGACAACTAAGGGACTACTTCATGTATTATAATGCTATTAGCACTTTATTTGAAACCCTGTGAATATTATCCTCTTTATTAATGTTAATGATAGAACTTTATATCTGAAAAAATCTCATTCCAGCTATCTGTAGCTATTGTCAAAATTAAAATCCACATGTGGTCCATACCAAACATGTCACTTCAAGTACATGGCAAAACTGATTTAAATTGCTTCTGAAAAGATTTGACTTGTTCCTTTCGTGATATATTTCTGATGAACCAAAATTCAAATTGGTGTGGTTAACATTAATATTGTCAAAATTGTATTTTAAGAAATAGTAGTAAATTTCAATATAGATATTACTGATAAAAAGAAATTGAAATGAATACATCCATTCAATGTGGTAATATATAACCTTAAGTTTTTATAAATGATATGTTTTTTTTTTCATAAAATAAGTTAATCTTTGGACACAATATCTGAATTTCATGGTTTTCTAGTTAAATATGACTTTCTGTGGTTTTTATAAAACACATAAACACTACAATGTAAAAAATATTTCATTTAATCACAATACACATTCATATGTTTTTTTTTCTAATTTTTGTCTGACAAAATTTCCCCATACATGATCATTTAGAAGTGCAGTTGCCTGTGAGATTGATTATTAAATCATACCATTAAAGGTGATCAACTCTCTAATCAAACATAAACATAGATTTTTTCAAAAACTACTTTACCCCTTTCCACCTTGGACACAACATGGCCAAGTGATGAACACACTATCTTTACAAATTAGAAAGTTTACTAGATTTTGAAAATTATCTACTCCATTCTGATTAAAATGCAAATATGGATGTTTAGTTTTGTGTTTGTTTCTGAAGATAACTCCATTTGCCATCCTTGATCTGTTGAAATTGTTATGCATCTCCTGTTCTAGATAATCTAATATTCAACCAATCAAATGCTCTGTCCAATAAAGACTTCCTGATGTGGTTAAGTTAACCTTTGACTTGTATTTTGTGTCCAGTATTTGATTGGTTAGCATAAATTATGACAACTTCTGTTGGGCAAAATTCCACAGAACACAATTTTAAAAAGAATCTTGTCAGATGATAGTTGGCAAGTGTAGTAACCTGCAGAAAAAACATGAAACGAAACATCGAGATTTCCATTTGAATAAGATTGGTTCAAGTTATTAAATGTTTGATTACTGAATACCTTTAAAATTTCTAATAGAGTAATTATATATTACTATTGGACATTAGGCAGTTGGTAGCTTAATATATATTAATGTTTCATTATATCTATAAATCTTTAAATCCCATCCAAACAATTAGAATATATTTTCAAATTTGAGTTAAAGGCCAATTGCATGTTTAAATTGCAAAATAAGGAGTCCACTGTCAAAAGCAATTTCTAAGCATAATTCATTCGAACAGCAATATTCAGGAAGACTAATAATTGCATCCATTAAGAAACACTTTCTAGAGTTAATACTATTTTGTTTTTCTTCAGCTTATCTTGCAGAAATTCTTACAAATTGTGTTATTGCAATTTCATTATTTTTGCCTAATAATACATGAATATCTCAAAGAATTTTGTTGGCCTTTACCTACATGCACGCTTAATATCAATATTTATTATAACTATTACCATATTTGGATGGGATTTAAAAATATTCCACAGCATACATTAGCAGATTCCAATTCCGAACAAAAAAAGCTTCTTTTGTTTTTTCTTTATTCAAAAAGAACTATTGAGTAATTTTATCACTAAATGTTTTTGTCATAAACCAAACAGACACTGCACTACAGTACACCATATTTAAATAGCCATCTTAGGTGTATAGTCAGAGGCGTTAGGATTGAGGTTTGAGGTGGCAGGTGTGGGGTATTGTTCCTGGCACAATTTGGCTGAAAACAATGGAGAGGAGGTTCTTTCTGTGTTAAGGGTCTGATAAGTGGTTGTACTTGGTATAAGAGCCATGACTTCAGCTATTTTTGATTTCAATTCAACAATAACAGCTTCTCTTTCAGCCACGGATGCTGAAAGATAAAACACAAATATACGTCATTGGATTTGTATGTTTACACCTTATTTGTTTCTGCTTTCTACTTGGCTAATGAATATTAGTAATTTCATGTCGAGTTCAATAAGGCAATTTCTGCCAAGACAACCCCAATAACTAATTTTGATTTCCAACTGTCAATAAATCTTTCACATGCAAATTATGTTGCACACAGAACCTTGGTCTATAGTCCCTATACAACCAATAAAACACCCATTTCATCAACTTTGACATAGGCATCGTATGGTTGAAATGTGGCAAACTACAGTTTTTTCATTTTTTTTTTAGATCATGAATGATACAAGATACCTGACCAGATATTGATAGTTTATGGACATCAACTAGCTACATATAACTCTACTAAGCTACCTAAAGTAATGTTAGTTTGAGCGAAAAAAAAACGAAAAAACCAACAAACACTTGAGATTACATCTGATAATGTCCCTCTAAGCATAATTTCTGACAGATTTCCAGGTATAGCACAGTTGGTTAGAGCATTGGTTCTTAACAAGACCCAAGTTGTTATCCTTGTAAAATATGGTTGTTTCTTTCTTTCTTCATATGAGCTGTTCTGTTTGACTTCTGTAAAAATGAGCCAAAACAAAGCCCTGTTATACTTACATTGTAGAATTTTAATCTGTCTTCTCTCTTCAGCTAATGCAGAAAACAACTCTTGTTTAAACCTAGTTTCAGCTGTTAGACTATTTTCCAGTTCAGCATTTTTGTCTTGCATTGCACCAAGGGCAGCCATCAAAACATTTTCTTTCTGATTGTCTTTAATTTGCCTTAATGTCTAAAATGAAATCATGAAAATCAATGTAGTTTGAGATTAAGTGAGTCGACAAACTTGGTTATGAAAAAGGCATATATATTCATTGTATGGATGATTCTTGTTTGAAGTAATCTAGACCTATTGGTTGTTCTTAAGTGCACAATTAATTGACTAGAGCTAGAAGAAAAAAAAATTATCCAATAAATAAATCCAGCTATCATATATTCATCTTATTTTCTTATGACATTTTGAAAACAAACCTGAATTTCCACGTCTAAATTTCTATATTGATCTTCACGAAGTTTGAGATCTCTTCTTAGCAGTTTCACGTCATTTTCACTTTCTCTTCTTCTAGCTTTACAACTCTCTGTACATTCATTTCTACAATAAATTGAGAAGGTTTTATAAAGTTTCACAATAGTTAAGGAGATGGTGAAAAATATCTGCAGTTGGCATCAAAATTCAAATAAATTTCATCTGGAATATTGAACTATAGGTTTTTCACAGCTGTTAGAAAGTATCTTCATAAACCTAAGAACTCACCGACTAGGTAAGTTTTAGCAACAACGGGTTATGAGTTCAACCTACCTAGAAGCAGCTGCCATGGCAACAGCTCTTGCAGCAGCATCTTCAACTTTTTTGGCTTTACGTTCAGCAGACAGCTGTTGATCTAGTGAGGTCCGTAATTTTCGTTCTTCTGCTAATTTTTTTTCTAAGATAGCTATATTTTGTTTATCTTGTTGTTTACCAGTTACTAGATTGTGTAATCTAAAGAAAGAAAGTAATAAATAAACAGCTTTCTGGATTTTTGTTTACTATATAAATTTTTACATAATACATCTCAAGACATATTTTTCTGTTTCACCAAAAGACTTTTACAGTCTTATCGTTTCAATGCCTATTTTCGTAAGTATGTGCTCAAAATCTACAATATTTTGGTATTTTAATGGCATATACTGGCTCAGTATTTTAAGAAATTAATGAATTTTGTTTTATATTAATAAATATGGCTTTATCTTGCTAGTCTTAAGGGGCAACTTCTTAAATGTATATCATATGCTCAACCGAATAGCATTGTTATGACTTTGATGTATTTCAGGAAAGGAGCAAGTATGCAAATTACTTACTTATTCTGTAAGTTATCATTGTCTTGTTGTAGTTGAAATATTTCAGATTGTTGGGACTTTTCAGAACTGATTAAATTATTTATCTGAGAACGTAACTCTTGTTCTAAATTTCGACTGCTTTGAAGATCACTTTTGGCTTTCTTCATATCACTCTCTAACCTGAAAAACAGAATAATATTTATCAATAACAATAATAATAGTCTACCCATGTCATCTATATATATTGCTTGGTGTCAGATCGTGTTAGGTAAGTGTAGTTACCTGCTGAAAAAAATTGGAACATAAAATCCCGATTGGCATGTTAATGTAGGCATATTGTCTTATTGGATGGAAATCTGGCAATAATAACCAAATATGCTACTGGTATTAAAATTTTTGGCTCTTTAACTCCTTTATGGATTTCACTACAATCTATTCATATGGTTACCATGACAACAGAAACAAGACCAAAATTAAACAGTAGCATACCTGACTATAACTTCCTCCTTATTATTAGTGAATGATGCTGGTGATAAATCTTTACTATAATTCTTATTCTTTTTATTAGCACTACTAGTATTCTCTTTGGAACTGTTCAATTTATTACTAGCTGTCGTACTTTTAGCCATACCGTTACTTTTAAATGACTTAGTTTGCTGTTCATTGTTCTCAGTGTTTTCATCAAATTGATTCACATTTGACTTTTTGGGCCAAGATTTTTCTATAAATTCAACCTCGTCGGCTTCATTCACATCCACTGACTTAGATTGTTTTTTATTGTCTCTACTAGTTTCTTTATCCTGTTCTTTTTTATCACGCTCTTTTTCCCGCTCTTTGTCACGGTCTTTGTCTTCCTCTGTTTTTACTTTTTTACCCGCGACCCCATTTGAGATTACCTCCTCTTCTGGTTTAGGCGTTAAGGCTGAAAATACACAAAAAGACCTTTGAGACAGCAGTTAAGTCCTAACATTTCAGCTCATTAAATTCCATGATTTGATCTTTCACAATTTCAGTCCTAACCAGGGCCTAAATATAGTAGGGAATTTTGAAGTCCGTTCATCAGCTCACATTTAGAATTCTTTAGATAGGGGGATCATGATAAGGAACAAACATTTTGCAGAAATATACTAGAAAAATATATTTCTGAAACTCTTTGTGAATAGATAAGAGTAATTACGTACCTTTTTGTTTTTCTGTAGTAATATTATTAGTATATTGTAATTCTGGTGGTAAAGATTGACTTAATAATTGTGTATAGAAATCATTTTCTTTTTGGACTACCTTCTGTCTCCGCTGAAATAAAATCCAAAATCATAAGAAAACTGAACCAAGTGGATGTAAAAGAAATTGTATATGAGTATATGGGCTTAATTTTAACCACTGCAAGTTCATCAATTAAAGATGGACCAATAGTGTTGCTGAATACAGTTACATGGTTAACGTATTACAGCAGTAACAACATTAAAGCTATGAGTTTCCAAGGTCATTAGATCATCTTCTTGAACATTGCGGGACCATTGGATTCAGTACGAGTTTAATTTTAGACAGAAAGTAAGTAAAGTTATAAGTTTAGATATACGTACCAACCGTAACCTATATGATATGTAACTTTTAAAACCAAAACCTAATGTGACCACTGGATAACCAATACTATAATAGACAATTATATCAAATTATTATTATTTCAAACCAAAGCTATCTGGGGTTCTATCTACAACCAACGTGAGAAATGTATTTTTTTGCAATTGTAACTTTTCATTCTGTGTTCACTTGCTTGATTAGATGATAGCATTCAATTTGCTTTCTGAGAGACATGCACTGAATACGTCTGCAGACTGTGTTGGTTGACTACTAAACCTGGATCTACTTTATGAAATGTACTTACCAGTGGGCTGCAAAGGGCCTACATAGATCTAAATTAAAGGGTAGATTTTTTAATTCGCGTAATCGAACAGAAGCTTCTATATAAACAAAGAGTAACCATAGAGACACTGTCGGAAGACATATACCCCTTTCTGAAATGCAGAAACACAAGAATTAATAACATTTATCAATAAACTAACATATCTATTAGAAATGCAGATATTGATAAACATTATATTCATATATCACACAGATAACTGAGTGTGTAAGATCAAACATTCATCAAAAAAAAAGCTTACTTTATTTGTGTGGAACACTACTGTTGAATCAATGGTGACAAATATATTAAATCCACCTTTACAGGTTCTATGTCATTAGCATTGAGGCAAGTTGTTATTTGATCGATAAGAGCTTATTTTAAGAGTTCTGAGGACCTTTTAAATATTAGGACTTCATGTATAATAGCAAATAAATTCTGAGACATACATTCTGAGCTGTCAAATTACTCTTGGCAATTATTACATGTAAACAAAGTACTTACCAGTATGCCAAACATACTGAACCCATACATAAGTACTAGCAGCAAAAAATAACCATTGAACAGGTATAAATAAATAACATACTACATCTGATGTTATAGCGATACAAACAAAGAATACAGAAAAGGCCTGAAAAATAATCACAAATTCATATCAATAACCAAATAAATCGTCCAATATGATAATGAACTGAATGTTGCACAAGTTAAGAACATTTTGGTAACTGCTATATTGACATCAGCCTTGTTCAGGTTTGAACTACAAAACAATTACTGAACACAGTGAAATTCAAAGAGAATTAAATCAAAGAAATGTTAAAGTCAGGATGTTGGATTCTTTTTACTTTTGAATGATTCAAATTCAACTTACAAGTCCTTGGTACTTGAAAGAGTCGTAAACACTGCGTAGCAAAAGCCAAAATGGCCAGAGATATTCGAAACGGAGTTCCAAAATAAAATCTGCCATCAGAACAAGAGCCCATACCAACAGGAATCTCATGTACAGGAACGTACTAAAAATAAAAAATAAATTAAGTAAAATTTAAGTTCCTTCTCTTAGGAAATCATTGTTTGACATGTTGTGTCTTTATATAATGTGACACCTCACCTACAGAAAACTACAAGCAATATGGAAACAATAGCTCATCTAAGCAATACTTAAAAAGCAGTACTGTGAGTAATCATCGAAAATATTAGTCACCATGAACACAATTTTGGTCATTACTAAACCTTAACCATTTTTTTTGCAAAACAGAGGATATGTCTTATTATTTTATTAGTCAAGACTGTCAAGAAAAAAAACACACACAATTGTTATTATTTTCATACATAATTATTTTGTTACTATCAATTTTTATTAAGTCTATCATACATGTGATCACAGTGAAGATAATTTAATAAAAATAAGAACAACACTGTAAAAGAAATATGAGAGGCTTGTGAATTTTGATTAAAATAAGAATTGTATTCCTATTAGCTTTTTCATAATCAATTAATCTTAAAATAAAAAAAGGAAAACTTAGACATTTGTTATTCAGACAAAAATGCTTTTTGCAAAATCTTTTACAATTTCTAAATAAACAGTAAATTTGATAAAATTATCCTTTATATATCATTCATATCTCCTAAAAATGGTGTTATGTGAATTTTAAAAGAGCTTGTGCAGATTGAATGAAAGATTTTTTAAGCCATTAAACACTTAAGCACTTTTTTCAAGGTTTAAAGATCGCCATCTTCACATACCAGTATTTATCTGAACAAGACAAAATATCTTGATTTATGTGATCAAGATGATCTTTACACTTTTGATAGCACTCATTTTTATGTTCAGCAATAGATCATGACAAATTATTCTATTTAATATCAAGATATAGACCTGTAATGAGTATCATACTTCAAGTAGAACTTGACCATACAATGCGTGAATCATGGCATGTTGTATCGCTTTGCTTCCTGTCCTAAGCCCTAGTCTAACCATAAATATTCATACTAGGAAAATGAAACTAGCATTTAGTTCTATTGTGGAAAAGATAGAGACCTGTTTTCTATTAGTTCAGGCTATGCTTAAATCACTTTCACTATATGATATTAAGCACAGAGTGACCTATCAATTTTTGCTACCCAAGGAAAATTTATATGATGATATATATTATTGTAGAGTCAGCCATTAAAATGGCTAAACATTGAATCCATTAAGCATTAGGTTAATTCTAATTAAATTTTAATCACCACCTATTGTTATTCTTAATGAGTTTAATTGCCAATTATCATTACTATCCATTATTAGGAATTCAAGTAGGCTGCTAACTGTTTGACACATGACAAAAATAACTTGAGCAGCTCTGACAACTGAGTTTTATTCTTTTTAAAAATAAATTTGATCTACTTTGGTTATTAGGTAGACCTTAGGCTAATTCACAATCAATTTTCTTGACTCATTAATTTTTTTAAGCTTACATTTAGTTGTGCAACAATTTTACTCCTTAGAGTTAGTCTCCTTGTAATCAAGGCCTACATACTTAGAAATAAAATTGAAATAACACAATAATTACATGACATAATTTGATAACGTTAGCTCTAAAGTATGTGTTACAGATTGCGACATTTCAATATGGTTATTTTAAAAACCCAGTTCATGTAGATAAGCATGATCTAAAAAATGAAGTCTCTGCAACATATGAAAATAAAATAAAAAACCACAGAATCTGAAATAAAACAACACAAATCAATAAAACCATGTTGTTAGTTCACAGCAATCTATATAAATGGTATTGAAATGTAACAGAGAAGCATGTCATAATTCCATCAACATAAACTGATTCACCGTGTTTTGACATTTCAGGTGAATTGGCAGCACTGCCATATTGACGGAAAGAGAAAAGATCAAAAATACATACCTTCCATAGATACCATCCGTTATTTTACTCCTTTTCATTGGCCTCCTTAGCTTGCCACAATCAACATTGCGTGGACGCTTCATGTTTCTTCAATTTTGCATACATCTATAACCTCTCCTTTCAATCTTTTGTCTTTTATTCTTCTTTCCTAATTATTATGACAATCCTGGAAGTGCTTTACAGTCTACTTCAATGCACATGCGCTAAATGAGATCTCCGAATATTTTCGGCAAATCCCGTCAGTTGACGTAAACATAGCACTCTGGGTAATATTGACAAGATGGCGATGCACGTACCAACTGCACCGGGCTTTGCCCAAATGCTTAAAAAAGGTTCTAAAGTAAGTAAATTAAGAGAAAAATTGCAGTAAGATATAAAAGAATTCATTAGGTTTCAAGCGAAAATAAGTTTTTTATAAGTTGTTCTCTTTATCTGTGAAAATTTCGGTTGCGAAAGTAGTGGCACGCAAGACCATGTGTTCCAACAAAAACACGCGAGTTGTCATGTTTTGACAAGAAAGGTCTAGAACATTCGAAAATGAAGTCAGGGTGTTTTTTTTAATACTTCACCTTCTAACTTACTCACGTAATTTTTATTGCGTATATTATTAAAGTTTTCTGTTAGCATTCTTCAGTCAAATAACTTGGATGAACCATAACATAATGATATTTAAGTGATTAATAATAGACTTAGAAATATTAAAGGGGAAACCACTATGGGAGGAACGTGTTAAGGGGGAAACCACTGTAAGCCATTAAAAATGAATGCCTATTACTTCTCTCTTTTGATCAGTGCCAGTGAGTGGGCTCTAAAATGCAGGTCTATGTCTTTTTCTCACAAAACTGTTATATAGGCCTAGGGAACTTGAAAGCTGTCATATCTAGACATAAGTCCTAACTTTAATGCAATCGAGAAAAGCTATCACCAACAACATGCAGGCCCTAAATATCGTTGAATAATCGAATACAAAACGACTAAGGCTGAGCGTGAGCACTAGCTTGAAATAATGGCAATATTTTTGTGGTCATTAATGTCTCAAATTATTTTCCTTATTTGGATTTTCTCTATTTCAGCATTTTTCAGGCTTAGAAGAGGCTATTTATAAAAATATTGAAGCTTGTAAAGAGTTGGCGAAGACAACCAAATCAGCTTATGGACCGCATGGTGTGTAAACAGATTGTGCAAATCATGATACTGATAGTCATTGGCATTTTGTATTTTATACATGACATGGGTCAAGTATTAGTATATATTACATAGCATTCTTAGTAGATATAAACTCTGCCCAAACCTGATGACCTCTGCTTTAACCGATCAAATTGAATTATATTTCTGAACATTCAAAAGCATGTCTTTCAACATAGTTAGGCACAATGTTCAGTTTCTGTGGCCTTGATAAACAAGTCCAATGCCTTTGAAATATACCTTTTGTTTGAGTCACATAATGCATGCGCTGGAGAGGGAGGAAATTTGATCGGCTGGCGGTTTTATGAATTAGTTGGTATTTGTTTAATGAAAATGCTTCTAGGGAAATTACATATTTTCTTGTATTATATTTTAGGTCAAAACAAGATGGTTATTAACCACCTGGAAAAATTATTTGTCACCAATGATGCTGCCACTATATTGAGAGAGTTGGAAGTTCAACATCCAGCTGCCAAAATGATAGTCATGGCTTCTCAGCAACAAGAACAGGAATGTGGAGATGGCACCAATTTTGTTCTCATTTTTGCTGGAGCTCTACTTTCCAATGCTGAAGAATTACTTAGAATGGTTTGTACTTTGTACATTCTGACGGTGCTTATAAATCTGTGCTGCATGTGCAATAAAACATTTGAAAGAACATTCCTGCAGGGTCATTGTCAAAAGATTGACAATAGCTCAATGAGCATAGTTGTCCTGTTTTATATATTTCTGTTCTTTCTCAAAAATAATGATTTTGTGAATGATATTTTAGGACTAGGCTTATTATTTGAACGCATGGATTCCATATGACTGTTTTTCTTTTATTTATTGTAGGGTTTATCTGTAACAGAAGTGATATGTGGTTACGAATTAGCTTGTAGAAAGGCAGTGGAGATTTTACCAGGTAGGATACAGTGACTTTTGTTACTCTATGGTTTGTGCAATTCCAGTAAAACTAAGTGTTTGATGACGTTACTAACCGTGAAGGGCCTTATGTGATAAGCAAATTTCGCGATTAGTGAAGTCATCAAACATTAATTTTTGTGGAATTGCAGGATCCCCAGATGTTTTAAAATTGGAATGGTGCATATTGATGCTATCAGTGTCCCAGATACACATAACAATCTAGTAAACTCTTTACAATCACTTAGTAAAATTTGGACCTGCTTTGATTTCCTTCTACGTTTTGCAATCATTTGTTAAAAGACAAAGAATTTAGAGTATGATAATTGTACATAAGTAGTTTAGATAATATGAATTGTTTTCACTATTTAGAATTAGTTATTGGTGAAACTAAAGATCTACGTAATAAGACTGAAGTGAGTGCAGCTATTAGAACAGCTGTCATGAGTAAACAATATGGCAATGAAGATTTCTTAGCTCCTTTAATAGCTGATGCCTGCAGTAAGTGTTTCATTCTATAGATATGCAAAATTGAAAGTATGTTTTTTTTGTCTCAGATTCTTTTTTGTCTCAGCAATTTCAGCTCCGGTTGGGTTTTGGAAACAAGAGTGTTTTCCTGATATGATTTAGAATATGTCTTAAAATACTTATTACTCATGAAAACCTGACTTTTGGAGTTATTATTGTTGCATTCCTCAGCTATTTAAATTTCTCTAAAACTTTGATAACTTTTCATTTGAAATGTTCTATCACCATGTTGATAATGATAATGTTTATTTATTACAGTTTCTATATTATCACAGAAGATAAGTTTTAATGTTGATAATATTAGAGTTGTCAAAATATTGGTAAGTTAACATATCAGTACAAAATTTTCTAATCAAAAAGAAAACAGATGATATTATCAATAGATAGAAATTTAAATTAAAAATAATGTTATCTTGTTTGTAAGCAGACCTTTTCGGGTCTGGGGTTATCTTTTGTCTGCTTTTATCTCAACCGTATGATATTCTCTGGAAAGATTTTTTGTAAGAAAAGATGTATTGTTTTTTGATAGGGATCTGGTATTTTACAAAGTGAAGTTATACAAGGTATGGTGTTTAAAAGAGAAATTGATGGTGAAGTGAACAAATGTGAGAACTGTAAGATAGCAGCCTATTCCTGTCCGTTTGATATCATGCAAACAGAAACAAAGGTATGTTGATATATTTTGTAATTTAAGGAAAATTGAACTTGTTTGTCAGGTTCTCATTTAGTCATCTATATCATGTTATGATTAAATAATAAGGTTAAATAGTCCCGAAAATTAAGAAATGTCATTTAGTGTGCAATGGTGTAAATTTTGCTAGGACTAGCTAGGGGCAAGGATCAGCTTTTAGATTTCATTCTGAAGGACTTAAAATGATACACATGAAATATATAATTGCGTATGTCGATTTATTATAAAGGTTTTAAAGGAGTTAACAAGTTTAAATTGATAGAAATATATTACTATTGTAGGGTACAGTGTTGATTAAAGATGCAAAAGAACTTCTGAATTATAGTAAAGGTGAAGAAAATCAAGTTGAAGAGGTAATTTCTAATATTCTTTGTAGTCATATTAGCTTTTGAAATAAGTTGTGATTTGCAAATGAGATATAATTTTGTGGGTGTAAACCAATCTAGATAGCACGGGAAATAGTGTTAAGGAGATGCTGTTATCAGTTCTTATTTTTTTGCCAATATCAACTCTGAATGTTTGAGAAAATTTTAGATTGAACACAGTGACACTTAAGCTGTTATAGACCATGGCGGTCCTCAAAAAAGATCTTGATTAAAGATTTTGAAAATTGCAGGAAAGAATGGTTTGGAATGAGCAAAGACTACTACATGCATAGTAACTCTTTGTTTGATGTTCTCGAAAGCATAGGATTTTTCTTCAGTTTACCATTAAGTCAAAATATAATGGTTATATTTTTGTATAATGTGTTTTACAGCATATCAAAGCTATAGCAGACACTGGTGTCAATGTTATTGTAACTGGTGGTAAAATAGGTGATCTAGCTCAACATTATTGTAATAAATATAAACTAATGATTGTTAGACTCATGTCTAAGTTTGATCTACGAAGATTATGTAAATGTGTTGGAGCTACTGCTTTACCTAAGATTGTAAGTCATTTTGTTTTTTGTTTAAAATTTGTTGTGGTAGTAAGAAATGTGTAACTCATTTAATGATTATTATTGGACTGCTTTGAACTTGAGCACTGAAATCACTTTTGTTTCTGTAGTTGAAAATGAATTTTTGTTAGGCTTCTCAATAAATCAAGTTAGGATTGACAATCAAGACCAAGTGACTGGAACATCAAACTTAGTCACAAGTTTCCAAGAGACTGACAAAGTGTTAGAAATCTCAATTCAGAATATATTTTTGTGAAAAAAAATATAATTTGTTAAAATACATGTAATTTCTAGGCTCCACCTACATCAAGAGAAATAGGTTTTTGTAGTAGAGTATATGTTGATGAAGTAGGTGATACTCCTCTTATCATCTTTAAACAAGGTAAGCTATATTGTTGATATTCACAAGGTTGTTGATTACCAAGTTCAATATCCATCCTCTTATTGTATAGTGAAAGTGGTAGTATCAAATTTGTAACACATAATTAAAGAAAATGATTCATCATCTTACACACATTTTTCTTGATGATTCACTTACTTTAGATTATTTTCCTAAAACGCTTTCATGTTAAAATCATAGCAAACTGCCAAAGAACAGTAGAAAATGATGTTATTGCTTATTGATCATTTGAGATGACTTTTACTCATTGTTTTCTGACAATGTGTAGAAATGTATGAAATTATTGAAAAATTGTATATTATAGATAAAGAAGAATCTGCTGTAGCTACTATATTAGTTAGAGGTTCAACAGATAATATAATGGATGATATAGAGAGAGCTATTGATGATGGTGTTAATACATTTAAAGCTTTAACTAAGGTTGGTATTCCATATTTACCTCATGCAATTTATTCTGTTTAGGTTACAAGATTTACTCAGTGCTTTCAATGATTCAAGATTTTCAGTTCAAATTGAAATCTATTTCAATCCCCCAGAAGGTGTAGGTGAAAATTACCTGTGTCTCTTTTCTTCAGGATGTTAAGTTGGTATCTGGAGCAGGTTCTACAGAAATAGAATTAGCTAAACAAATCACAACATTTGGTGAAGTAAGTACTTCCTTACACTTGCTTTCTTTATCCATTAAGATGCGAAGAAGAACTTTGTTATGCACATCCACTTCCTCATTAGCTATTATGGTTGTATGGATTAGTAATGACTATTTTCCCAAATCATTCATATCCAAATTAGTTTTGATTGCTGACTTAGTTTTGATTGCTATTGTAGAGTCTACCAGGTTTAGAGCAGTATGCTGTAAAGAAATTTGCTGAATCTTTAGAAGTTATTCCCAGATCATTAGCTGAAAATACCGGTGTAAAGGTAAGTTGTTGGTCTATCTCTGTTAGAGGATAAAGAGTAATTCATTTTGCCGTTAATCACTTGAAAACTGCAGAATAGATGACCTTTTTCTATTGTGTTCAATGTATTGCTCATTATTAGAAACAATATCTTCTTTTTTGAAGTACTGAACATGATACTATTATGAGATTGAACAGAATATGGACTGTCATAGACTGCTTACATTATAAATACTGTTTGTACAATATGTGCACTCGTTTTTTTTTAGGGAAATGAAGTCATAGCCAAGTTATATGCTGCTCATCAAGAAGGCAAGAAAACTGTTGGAATAGATATTGAGGTAAATACTGATGGGAATTATTTAAGAATTAATCGTTGGTGCGTGAATGCAATTGATCGCATGACAATATGAATAAAAATATGCATTTTAATTGCATTATCATTTGCTTTTACACAACATTGATGCTATTGAGACCAATGTATAATTCTTATTCAAATTCAAGTTTCTCTAGCATATTGATTGAGATCAAATGGAACGGAAGCTTTCAGGTTTCCGGCAGTAGAAAGTTACCATAATTTGTTAAAGTTCAACAGTGGAACTAAGATTCCTACAAATGGTTAGATCCATTGGGAACTACTTCTTGGCTTTTGAATTACTTATTTATAATATCTATGTTATATTGTAGGGAATTAGTGCATCAGTAAGAGATGCTAAAGAAGCTGGTATAATAGATCTCTTTATAACTAAACACTGGGGAATCAGATTTGCTACTCAATCAGCTTGTACAGTACTTAATGTTGATCAGGTAATTCTTGAAATTACTATGGCTTAACAATTTAGAATGGACATGCTGGCTGTTTTAAATGCAAAGTCAAGTCAAAATTTTGACATTTTACTGCCTAGTGTTAGTGTAGGTTTGTTATCCTGACATAGGTTGAGATAATACCTTGAGATTTTCGGACCTGATTTCCGTAGAGGTCAGAGGGGTCGACATGGAAAAAGTAACTTGTTGTTGGAACAGTTCACTGAGTCCCTATGTGCCACAGACAAGGCAACAATAAGAAAGAGAAAAAGATATAACATCACTTTTCTTCCTTCATTAGCCAAATCGAAAGCAGCAAAAGTGGCATAATCTCCACTCAAACTTTATGGTTTCAGCAGCATAATCTGAGACAGCCCATTTTATTTCTAATTTTGTCTTTGTGTAATTTCAGATAATAATGTCTAAACCAGCAGGAGGACCTAAAGCTAAAGAAAACAAGAATTGGGATGAAGATGATTAATTGATTAATTTATTATTTTTTTTATACCTTTATTGTTACTATCAAAAAGTGCTATCATTCTATTTGTATAACATCATAAAAATTGTACCGCTTTGATCATGTCTCTTCACATTCTCTGTGTGCTTATAATACCATTGTTATATGTGATATCTCTTTATTATCAACAATAAAATCATACATGGTACTCTGTCTTTATAATGTGTTGTTGCCCTCGAATACATATTGATGTTGCAGTAAGTTCATGTCATTTTCTACAGGCCTTAAACATAACATTTCCAGACCAATAAGAATCATCAAAACAAAAATAATTTGTGGAGACTTTTACACAGCTTAAGATTAAAATGAATGCACCTCCATTAACGTTACATATCTTATTACATAGCCTAAGGAATGAATTGCCTATGGCCCCTTTGACAATTAAAATTGAGTGATGCTTGCTAGCTAATCTGATGGTCCGTGGTGCAATCCAATTTTCAAATTTTTCAACGCAGTTACCTCATGTCAGTGATTGCATGTCTAGTCATTTGGATAGGACAATAAACAGGCCCTGTGTGAAACTTGCAAGATCCCTTGATACTGGAAATGAAAAAGAGTGGGCTAATGTCCCTGTCCTGGTAAATTTTCCTCATTTAACACTGCATGGCTTTGTCTTTGCTTTATTATTTCATTTTTCCTATTAACTGTGGTCTAGACATATATGGGTAACCTCCCTTTAACAACTCTCCTATTTTAGAAATCTTATTGGTCAACAAATTAGTAAATCGAAAGTAGACAAAATAAAATTGATTTAGATTAGGCTCAGATTACTAAAATATTAGGCTAATACAATAGACAAGTTATGTCTGATCCGTTGGATCGGGACAGAGGGGGGCGGAGAAGACGAAGGCGAGATAAACCAATTGTCAGAAAGGTAGTCTGTAAGCTTATAGATCTCACCATATTTTTTTTTTATTTTTATTAAGATAATCAAGACATATTGTTGATAAGGAAAGGGCAGTAGGCTACTCTCTACTAGTAGGCTTGCGCTATTTGATGGTTTATGGCAGGTTCTGCTTTGATTCTTTGACAATTTTTGGTTAATAACACTAACAGATAGTACTACTTGTGAAAATTCCAGAAATGCTGAAAATTTGATTCAGAGACAACCAAGCCCAGGGTAAACAGAATAGTTTAGTTAAAAAGAAACATGACTATCAACTGTTATTTTTCAACTCTGTATTCCATTTGTAATTCCAAATTATGATCTTATGTTGTTCCAGGAAAGAGAAAAGGAAAAAGATGCCTCACCTGTTCCATCAAGGCCATCTATTATTCTGGGTTTAGCTAAACCAACACAAGATCAGGTATGACTATGTGTTAGAGGTTGCACGAATTTCTACCATAGTTATTAGAGTTTTGCCTTTATTTGTCTATGCCTTGCTTGGAAATCTTTCCTTTGGCTCTGCGAGAGGTGGAGACTGCCCCCCCTTGGCAGTGCCACTGGCATTGGGCCTAGGCCTACAGCTCAAAATCTTGTTTTGAACATATGAAATGAGAGAAAAAAATTCAATTCAAAGCTCAAGAATGTTGTGTCATGCTACATGTAGGGCCTGCTTGCTCTATAGCAGACACTTCAGAAACTGCTTATTGTTTATCTGAAAATATACATGTATTATATGCTCGAACTCGTAGAAAATGATACACATTTTTATTTGTGTGACTGCTCCTTGGAGTGCCTTAAAGTCTAAATATCTATAAGAGGGCCTTATGTCAATAAATTAAAATGGCTAAGACTTACATGAAAATTTGATGTCCCTTTATGTTGATATTGAATCCATTTTGGTAAACTGTGAATAATCCAGATGTAACACTTGTCGTTTTTTGTCAGGGGGCATCAGCTTCAAGTTCTGGGGCATCAGCATCAGCAACTAAATTAGACAAGCCTATTGTTGTATTGAGATCTAGAGATGATAGATCTTCACCACAACATGTCCAACATACCAATGTTAACATTACATCAGGCGATGTAACTACCCTTCCTGTACAGAGACAGCAATCATCAGGTCAATTGGTCATTGAAGGTAGGTCAGTAAGCAAATGATATGGAAGTATCATACATCAGCTTAAAGTCTATGGCTTGCCATTTTTTTGGTATCAAACGTACAACATACCTTGGTCTCGGAAACACGAATTGTTCAGCTAAGCTAATCAGTTATAGTATCCACAGATTGCCATGAAAATTTTAAGTTGATTTATATTGGAACAACTTCTTATACTGTTCAACAAGTTCACTTCCTTAGAAATTCAACCTATATATTTTCAAAACCAGCTATGTATATGATGACTATATATTTCTAGCAGCTAGTCAACAGAATAGGTTAGCTCCACCACCTGAGATGAAACATGGTGTTAAATTAATTGATGAAACTCTAAGATGGTGTGACAATGGAATGGAGGTGGGTGTTACTGTTTACTTTGATGTGGGTTCTTAGTGAATTAAAGGAATACAGCCTAGAGTCTAGACTACACTGAAATAAGCAAGAAATATAGTTTCAAAAAGCAAAGGACCTGGATATCAAATAATAAAACCTTTTGATAAATAATGCTCAAAACTCTTCAAACAAATAGTTTTATTTTGATAATAATAAATACTAAAAGAAAGATTCTAAAATTCATTGAACTGAAAATCTAGCGTAACGATCTTGGTATATTCAAAAGGAAAATGCCTCCATATAGCCATTGCATATCTACATTTGGTTCTATTTTAGATGCTGTTAGACCAGACTGATTATCTAGTAGTAGGAGCTATTGGTTTACAAGGTAGTGGTAAATCTACCATATTATCACTACTTGGTGGAAATTCTGTACAGGATACATACAGGTGAGTAGATATTCTATTCAGGATATGTATAGGTTGTGTAGAAATAGGAATTTCTTCTATTAATTGTCAACCATTGGGAAACTCTACAGGTGAATGGTAAACAATGAATATCTTAGAAATTCCTTACATAGAATGCTTTTATTAATTTATTGATTGTTGATTATTCAATAAATTGTTTGCTTAAAAAAAAAAAACCTGCGAAACATAGCTTCTGTTTTTGATACGATTGATTTTTCTTTCAGGAATTACATTTTTCAACCTCAAACAAAAGAAACAAAGGAAGAGGGTAGCCATCAAACTAATGGTATAGAAATGTTTGTATCATCAGAAAGAATTATATTTTTGGACACACAGGTTAGCTGTCAACATTTCTTTCTTTTTCTCTAAATGCTTGTTTAGATGTATACATCTTCAATATCTGTCTATATGACTTTTCCTAAAACTAATTATTAGTACAAATATCACTTTTGATATGATGTTACTTGGTAATATTATAGATATTAGAGATTAGAGATATTCTAGATAAAATCTTCTCAATGAGTCATTAAAATTTAATGTTTGACATAAACTAAGATTAAAATGGGTACTTCTCTGAAAAGTATTTTTTATTTATGTAGATCTTTTAGTTTAAAACCAAACTTGATAGAATTGGTTATTCCATGTAGTCATAAGAATAAGTTCTACTTGTCCATCTTCAGTAGGGAGGCAGAACAAAATACAGTAAGTCAATTATCAGAAGATCGAATAGCGTGAAACTCTAGAGTTACAACATGATTGTTTTAGGTTGTGTTTTTTATTTCTATATATTGTTATATATTATTTATAGCCTGTTATGAGTGCATCATTGTTAGATTATATGATAAGAAATGATAAGAAATATCCTACAGAATACAGTTCAGCTGAATATTGTATTGAAATGCAGGTAAGTAGGTTGGTTCTTTACCATCAAATTACTCTTTATCATCCACTTTCAATTATTAAATGAAGTGCTTAGTGCATTTGGGAGAAGTCAAACCCTCTCACCCATAAACAAGATTGTAAATATGTTATTGTTGCAGACTCCAAAATTGAAGGATTATTTTGAACATGAAATATACAAGTGGATGAAGTGGATCTAGATCAGGATTAGCAGATTAATGTAGAAAAATTAACAATGCCAATAACACTCAAGTGTATTTTTTTTTCAGTCTTTACAGATAGCAACATTTCTAATGACTGTTTGTAATGTAATTATAGTAGTACAAGATTGGTTTACAGATATCCATTTTCTAAGGTTTGTTTCATTTTCATTTTGATATTTGATAAATAAGGAAAGAAACATCCTTTTTTTACAACTGAGGTTTCAGAAGATTCTGTTTTAATGGTTGTCCCATGGCCTACCTTTGGGAGCTGCGGCAGCTCAGTGAGTTAAATGCTTGCCAACATGTTCTCGAAATGATCTTAGCACTAGGATGTCCTAGGGTCTTAACTTCTAGCACTATTACTAGGATATCCTAGATCTAAGATCTTTTCAAGAATATGTGGCCTGAAGGTGCAGGAGTCAACCCTGGCATAGATCGAGGTTAATCAATCAGATTTTTCAACCCAATATCCCTTGTCAGTGATGCAAGTCTAAAGAGCTAACATGAATGTTTATTGGTGCTAAATCATTTTAGAAAAAAAATGATAAACCTCATCAAGATTCATGTGGAATTGTGATTCCCGTAATTGGACTAAGTGTTCACAGAAAGCAAATTCACTAAACATGAACTGAAACATTTTCTGATTGCAATTCATTAATTGAACGAGTGTCAAAACTGTCTGTGATGTTTGAGAATAGATACAATTTTGTTTTGTTGTAGGTTTTTACAGAATAGTGAGATGTTAAAGCCCCAGCCACCAACACCAAGTAGTCATGATAGCAGCATAAATCATGATGATAAACCTGATTATTATCCTCATATTGGTAAGATATAATCATTCTATATATTAGTCATGATAGCAGCTTAAATCATGATGATAAATCTGATTATTATCCTCATATTGGTAAGATATAATCATTCTATATATTAGTCATGATAGCAGCTTAAATCATGATGATAAACCTGATTATTATCCTCATATTGGTAAGATATAATCATTCTATATAGTAGTCATGATAGCAGCATAAATCATGATGATAAACCTGATTATTACCCTCATATTGGTAAGATATAATCATTCTTTATATTAGTCATGATAGCAGCATAAATCATGATGATAAACCTGATTATTATCCTCATATTGGTAAGATATAATCATTCTTTATAGTAGTCATGATAGCAGCATAAATCATGATGATAAACCTGATTATTATCCTCATATTGGTAAGATATAATCATTCTTTATAGTAGTCATGATAGCAGCATAAATAATGATGATAAACCTGATTATTATCCTTGTGTTGATCAATGCTGAAAAATTGTCTGAAACCTTATGCTTTTAGCTGGTTGAATATGAAATGAAATTAATTATAAATTCCAGTATTTGTTCAGAATAAGGCCACAAGAGAGGACTACAGTTTGGAATCCTTCAAAGCCATGCAGCAGACGTTGTTGACTGTTTTTCAAACTTCAAGACTCAAATCTCAAGGTAGGTATTTACACAAACTTTTCTCAAACAAAAAATTAAATTTTTATGAATTTTGAACACTGGTACTTAAGGCAAGGCATAATTCAGACATTTGATTTGTGTTATCACTCACATGTGCCAAATGATTGATATACTTCCTCATGTAAAAAGTGCATTAGCTGCTACCAATGTGTTGCCAATATGTTGTTTAGGATTTCTGGTTTCTTTTGCGATTCGGATAGTCATTTCTTGGTTTTATTTATTCACACATTCCTAATCTCAATCATTTGATTTGAAATTACTTCAACAACACATTTACTCTCTTAATTTAGATAACATGAATTTTAACATTAAAGATGATTACTGGTACACTCCCCATTGGTATTTAGCAGCAACGCCTTGATGCATGTAAAAATCCATCTGCTGCAATTTATGTGGTTAAATAGCAGGTTATTCTGTTACTGTTTTTTTTTTTTCAATACTATTTTAAATCTTAATATGTGCTGTGCATGTTATTTTGTAGGTTCTGTATCACTTGCTAACAGTGGTTTATTACCAGGTATTAATCCTAGATCAGTAGAGACTGATATCAACCTGTTTCTCTTACCAACTATGGAGTATTATAAGGCTGAGCAAGGTATAACCACTTTTATTTCCTGAGAAATGTGTCAATTGCTTTCACTCTGAATCTGATTCAAATGAAGTTCTAGGTGGTATTTTCAATGATTTTATTCAGAATAAAAAATAATTATACCACTGGCTAGAAAAAATAGAGGAATTTCTCTAAGAGGAGGAAGTCTGAGACCCCAGACCTCAATGTGATTAAACCAAAACTGTACTGAAAAGTAGAATGTTACACTCTTATTCATTTGATTTCAATATTTTTATTTGAAAATTTAGGAAATTTTCCGAAAAATAATGTACAGTTTACATATTTAACTCTATTATGCCATATATCTATGCCAACCACTCAAATACTCACTTAAATAATTGGATTGATACACATGCCAACAGAAATTATAACTTGCCATCACCATGACAAACCAAATAGAAATCGGGATTCCAACACTGTAGCCTACTACCTAATTTTATTTATTATTAAATTTGTGCTATCTTTCAGAGTCTATTTTGAATTACCTGCCAGATTATAGAGGATTTCCCAGTTTTAATTCGTTAATAAAATCATTACGTAACCAGATTTTATCTATACCTAGATCACCTTTAACACATGCTAACCTGACAGAGAAAAACTGGTAAGATTTATTTGTTTCTTAATTTTCTTTATGCCCGTCAATCTATCTATGATAAAACACTAAAAACAGTGTGCACTGTACAAGCAATTGACATTTTTTATTTTGTCCTCGATTAGCTAACCTGAAGGTTAGTGTTGTTCTGCGTAGAGCTAGCACCTTTCTCACTTTTTTTTTTTTGCTTGATAAAGGGATTAGTCCTGAAACGTAGCTACGTTTACTCTAATTGTATCAACTTTTTACCTACTGATTACACATTATTGTGTGCTTTATTTTTTCCTAACCTGAAGGATGTGAAGGTCCACGAATCCATCTTGGATGGGAAAAAAACCAAGGCCCTCTTATGCTATTTGCTGTGAACATTAAAGATGTGTTAATAGTTGGAAAAGGCAACCTTACCCCTTGCACTGATGGTGTTGCTCTTCTTCGTTAGTCAATAGATGTTGGATATTTAATCTCCAAACTTTTATGGAACTAAACAACAAATATCTGACTTGTTTAAGCCATCCAACGAGTATACAAAATTTACTTTAAAATACAAAAATATTCTGTTTTCCAGGTTTCATTATGCTGCCAGAACATGGGAAGCTGTTAGAAAATCTCAACTACTGGCTGATTATAATAGACTGTTACCATGAAAGTTATAAGACCTTGCTCATGGAAAAGAAGATGGTCTGTTGCCAATTGTTTTGAAGAAGAATGAGGCAGATGGAGAATCACATACAGATGTATACTGTGTGGGAGAAAATGTATCGACTCCAAGCTAATTACACTGGCGGAATTTGCATCATTGCATACTGCACCCGGGTGACAAAATTTGCTTCATTGCACACTGCACCTGGGGTGCTCATGTTAATTAGATGCAAAACTATATTGATTTCAATTTGAGACACGAGGGTTGCCCTAAACTCCTTGGTGATTTTTGTTTTAAATGATATCATTTTTACCCAAATTTCTATAAGATATCATTTGATGATGATTCAAAAAAATTTTCTTTTATGAATGAGAGGCTTATCACATGTCCATGGATGAATTGGACACACTGTTGTTGCTAAGGACTAAATTTTGTTTGGATTCATTATGAGATTGTGAAGGAATTTTGACTATGAAAAATATCAAAAGTTATAAATTGCTGCTTTTTGAGAGGATAGTTTGATAGGATGGTTAAAGTACCTTCAATATCATACAGAATACTAAAAATTTCGACTTCACTAACAACATGGTGTCCAAACTGCAAAGCTTAGTGAAATTTCAATGATGATGAAAGGGGAATGTTGTTGTATTAATGTATTTTGACTCCCAAAATGTCAGTTTTTTCGTTGTATTTGTATTATGATGATGATGATTTTGTTGTGCCAATTTGTAGGAGATTCAGTTATCCAGTTTTCAATTTTTTGAAAGTCTTCAAATGTCAGTATGTAATAGTTTCCAATTTATTTCATTTGAATTTTGGTTACATTTGTACTGTAATAAGTGACTGGTCATATTGTTATCAGAAATATTAAATGTTGCAACTCTTGGGTTTTTTCTTATTTATAAGTCGTCGAATGATATATATGGATAAAAAAAGAAGGAACCATGGCACATAAAACTCAAGACAGCAATTTTCAGCCAGAATTCTGTTGAAATTAGCCATCCCCAGAGAGTGGTGTGTAGGCAGCCCCGTCGTTACAAAATCTGAGCACCAGCACCAATTTACTCCTGGCGACTGGGCTACATGTAGGCCTACTACATATTCAATGAAAACTTCAATTCAGAGTCATTCCAAAACTACCAGTACTCTCTTTATTAGAAGATATTCAAATTCCCTCTAAAATAATCAGAAAATTTTGATTTCACATCAAAAGTGTGAGGTTTGAGTGACTTGAAAATTTCAGGAAGGGTATGCAAGGAACGTCAGATAATACCGTTATATCTGACCTTGAAAGTTATTTTGAAGGTCAGTGTTGGCAATTCTATAACTTTAAGTCACGTGATATAATAAGTCACATGACATCAACCGTTTCACAGTGCACACTTATTTCATGAGGTAAACTATTTTACTAGATCGTCTCTGAAATGCTTACTTGCAATCGTCATTATACTCAATACAATGTGTTGTTCAGTTATTCCCATATTGGAAGAATAGGCCTTTAAAGAGACATTAAATGTTGGTGATGTGGGCTAATTTCTAAGAGATTTTAATTCTACAAGAGACATGTGAAAGGCACAGGTACCTAGATGTGGCCATGATGGCCATTGGTGAAACATTTGAGATTTTGCCGATCGCTGTGGTGAAAGGTGGGTTATGTAATGTGAGCTAGGAAACTGAGAAAGGTGAGCGATGTGAGGCAAAAAATGCAGAGACTGAAAAGGGTTGATGATGTGAGCTAAGTGACAACGTCAGGGACAAAGGTGATATGTAAGCTAAGTGGCAGAGGGAAATATTGGTGATGTAAGCTAAGTGACAGAGGGAAATATTGGTGATGTAAACTAAGTGGCAGAGGGAAATATTGGTGATGTAAGCTAAGTGACAGAGGGAAATATTGGTGATGTAAGCTAAGTGACAGAGGGAAATATTGGTGATGTAAGCTAAGTGATAGGGGGGAAGGAAAGGTTGGTGATGTAAGCTAAGTGATAGGTGGAAAGGTTGGTGATATAAGCTAAGTGACAGGGGGAGAGATTGGTGAGGTGTGATAAGTGATAGGGGGAAAGGTTGGTGATGTAAGTTAAGTGAAAGGGGGAAAGGTTTGTTATGTAACTTAAGTGACGGAGGGAAAAGATTGGTGATGTAAGTTAAGTGACAGGGGAAAAGATTGGTGATATAAGTTAATAGGCAGTAAAATGTTGGAAATGTGATCATAGAAACATTAATAGGTTGAGTTGAGAGAAAGAATAGGTTGATGGTGTAAGATAAGAGGTAGGTGATGTCTGGCAATAGGCAGTGAAAGGTTTTATGAGGCAAGAGACATGAATAAGTTGGAGATGTGAGCTAAGAGAAAGACATAAGGTTGTTGATGTGAGCTAAGAGAAAGATAATAGGTAAGTGACATGAGCTAAGAGAAGGATAAAAGGTTGTTGATGTGAGCTAAGAGAAAGATAAGAGGTAAGGTAAGTGTTGTGAGCAATGAGACAAGATAGGTTTGTGATTTCTGCTAAAAGAGAGATAAGAAAGGTTGGTAAGGTTTAGCTAAAAGACTGAAGTAAGATTGGTGATTTGTGTGCATTATTGTTTTGAGGTGAGAGAAATTGAATGGTTGGTGTTTAGAGCTAAAAAAAAAAAAAGAAATTTATGAATGTGGGCTAAAAGAACTGTTGATGATGTGGAAAGGAAAGCTGAGATTAGCTAAAAGATTTGTGGTGTATTTTAACTACCAATTTTCTGGATAAACTGTAAATAGAAAGGATCACTGTCTCTTTAAAGGTCATCTTTTGGTATTTTGAAGGTCAAGATTTATCAGTAATGTAAATTGTGTCAGACAGTATAATATATGTTATCTATGTAATAACCCTGATATAAACTTTATCTATATATGTACCAACATGTATTTGGGTTTTACCTTTCACAGAATCAACAATGGGAAGACTAGATGACAAAGTTGTGGTATTAACTGCTGGTGCTCAGGGTATTGGTAGAGCTTGTGCAGAGGTATTTATAGAATATTTTTATGATGAGTTCCCTTATTTTCATTTATAAAAATGGAAATACTAATCCTTATATATATAGAAAGTAGAGTTTTTCTAATGACTTAAAAATACAAGTTTGTCTCACATGTCCATAATTAACTCATAATTAGCTAAATTAGAAAAGAATTACCAGCAAAATTCCAATGAGTGACCGATCAAGAAAGGTCAAATTGTCTTCTTTTGTTTATCCAGACTGTACATACATAGATGATTGGTTAAAACTCTTGATGATATGCAATAAGAACATAATGATTTGATTAAGAATACATGATAATTCATGAAGAACACCAATTAATCAAATAGTTTGCTCAATTTGAAACTAAGAAATAAAGAAACCCATCTTTAAGAATTTTATGCCAGACTTGATTTATTTAGTATTCATGGGGCTGAGGTGGAAGACTATCTTTTGTGACATAAAACATGGGGCCTATGTGTAATAGGTTATGAACTTTATACATACTTTGATAGTTTAAAATGTATAAGAGTAAGGCTAATACTGAGAGTAGAGCAAAATGTGCCTTATTGCAGAATGCAAGGTGGACAGTGAAAGATTTCTGATATTGCAGAATGCATTGCGGTCACATTTTCTTTACCTCAATATGGAGCATAATGATAGGACAAAATTTATTTGAAAGTGCAACAGAAGGCCATTATTGTAACAGTGACCTAAAAATGATATGTGAACATAAATAAATTGATAAGATATAAATATATGAATTATTGTTGTCAATTAAAGATATGATTTATAATTTTAGATATTTGCTAGAGAAGGTGCTAGGGTTATAGCAACAGATGTTAATGTAGAGAAACTAAAGGAATTAGATTCTATTAAAGGTGAGACCTCTTTGATTATCATTATTACTCCTGAGTATCACCTCTACATGTGTGTCTCTTGATTCCTAATAGCTATAACTGAAATGAAATATCATCTTCAAAACAGTACATAGTCTAATTACCAAGCACAGCCTGTAGCACACAGGGCCTCAGTTTATTGTCCTATCGGAACAAATAAACACTTTTTCGATGTTATCCCCTCTAAATTGTATCTCTGACAAGGGGAAACTGAGTTGAAAAATTTGAATCTATTATCTATTTTATGCCAGGATTTAAACCTGACCATTCTGGTTTTGTTTGTTTATGAAAAGGATTTTGATAAAAATATTATTTATTTAATGTAGGTATAGAGACTAGAGTACTAGATGTAACAAATAATGATGATATTGTGAAACTAGCTAAATCATTAGATCATGTAGATATACTGTTTAATTGTGCTGGGTAAAATTTCCATTTATTGTATATTTGAAATGTCATGATAGTTATTTTGGTAATCAATGCGCCATATTTTTTATCAGATGAATAATGGGGATTTTATGCTTTAAAACAATTAACAGTGTCTTAAAGGCCGATATTAGCAATATTGTTTTACTGAATCATCTAGCATTACTCTTTCTGTCATAAGTAGAATGCAGACTAAATGAATCAATGAAAGCTTGATGGAGGTTAAACCTAAACCATGAACAATGATTGATGCTTCGTAGGCACTGAGGTGATGTTTGCTAATATCCAAAGAGGATAGTAGTATATTTTGTTGGTACCAGGGCTGTTCAAAGTCAAGGTCATGTGAATTGGACCTTTATCTCACCTTAATCAAGCTTACTTTCACTATTACAGATACGTACACAATGGTACTATATTAGAAACAGATGAAGCTAGTTGGGATCGATCATTTAATATAAATGTAAAGAGTATGTTTAGAATGTGTAAAGCTTTTCTGCCTAAAGTAAGTAAGACTTCAGATAATTATCTAGCTGATCATACAATCAACAAATAGTTAAACAATTCAATTTGAAGACATATCATGCATCTTGGACACCCCAATTTGTAAACATTACACATATCTTGGACACCCCTATTTGTAGACATTACATGTATTATGTACACTTTAATTTGTAGACATTACATGTATTATGTCCACTTTAATTTGTAGACATTACGTGTATTATGTCCACTTTAATTTGTAGACATAACATGTATTATGTCCACTTTAATTTGTAGACATTACATGTATTATGTCCACTTTAATTTGTTGACACCTTACATGTATTATGTCCACTTTAATTTGTAGACATTACATGTATTATGTCCACTTTAATTTGTAGACATTACATGTATTATGTCCACTTTAATTTGTTGACACCTTACATGTATTATGTCCACTTTAATTTGTAGACATTACATGTATTATGTCCACTTTAATTTGTAGACATTACATGTATTATGTCCACTTTAATTTGTAGACATTACATGTATTATGTCCACTTTAATTTGTTGACACCTTACATGTATTATGTCCACTTTAATTTGTAGACATTACATTTATTATGACCATTTTAATTTGTAGACATTACATGTATTATGTCCACTTTAATTTGTTGACACTTTACATGTATTATGTCCACTTTAATTTGTAGACATTACATGTATTATGTCCACTTTAATTTGTAGACATTACATGTATTATGTCCACTTTAATTTGTTGACACCTTACATGTATTATGTCCACTTTAATTTGTAGACATTACATGTATTATGACCATTTTAATTTGTAGACATTACATGTATTATGTCCACTTTAATTTGTAGACATTACATGTATTATGTCCACTTTAATTTGTAGACATTACATGTATTATGTCCACTTTAATTTGTAGACATTACATGTATTATGTACACTTTAATTTGTTGACACCTTACATGTATTATGTACAGTTTAATTTGTGGACTGTGGACTAATGATTAAGTGATGGTATATTTTAGATGATGGCTCAAGATTCAAGTGTTAGTATAATTAATATGTCATCTGTAGCTTCTAGTATTAAAGGTGAATTAAACTATTATTTTACGAACTACCAGAACTACCTAGTTTGCGATATCAGCATCCGCTGGAAGCGAATGTTAATTTGTCATCTACCAACCAACCATTATTTTGTGATGAAATACCTGAAGAGTGGACAGAAATGACTTTTAAAGTTCAGTTTCAATTGGGTCAAATTTTGACCATCTCAATTTCTCCCAGCGTAATAAAATGATGATGCAATGTTGTTGTCGAAGCATTGGTTTGTAGATAGATAGATGTAGATAGTTCATAGTACCAAGAGAGCGGTTTTCAATTGATGAAATTTTAAACCATTTCCTTTTACCCAAACCTTAAAACCTTACGCACAGCTGAAAATGCAAAGGTGTCTATCAACAAATATGATTTATGGTTGCTAAGGAAATAATATTTGACAACAACCGTAATAAATTAAGGTAAATATTTACTTATTGTAGGTGTACCAAATAGAAGTGTATACAGTACAACTAAAGCAGCAGTTATAGGTTTAACAAAATCTGTAGCAGCAGATTATGTTGATCAAAATGTCAGATGTAACTGTGTTTGTCCAGGTAAGATTGGGTAGACTAAATTAATGAAGGAAAGATACTGGAAAATGAGATTCTGAACTCAGGAAAGTTCCGGCTTACTCTTCCTACAGACACCTACCATTGACACATTGAATGGTACAGTATTGCTATTTGGCTCATTTTCTACCTCTTGGTTTCGGTCAGCTTTGTGTCTCTCCCTAACAATAGAAATTATTATTAAATTTCTCAGTGACATTTAGATTTTTTATTCTTTATCAGGTACAGTAGATACGCCATCTTTACATGAAAGAATAAATGCATTAGAAGATCCACAAAAGGTACTACTTAAATTTTTATTACATACATACATACACGTGTAATACTACTCTTACAAATATGGAGATTCACACCCATGTAATAATTATATCCATATTACACACATGTTGAATACAGACGGAACTTTTTTTTACCTCCAAATGGCGCCATTTTGTTTCCGTCTCACTTCGTGGATTCTAAGCTGCAGTGCTAGCTTCGAATATCGCAAATGATAATGAATAGCCATTGAACCATATTTAATAACATGTCCAAACACCCATGGATAGGATAATACTTCTAACAAGACATGCCGTTTTGACTTATTTTGAAAAAATAAATCAAGTGTTGTATTCGGGTTGACAATTGTGTAATAGTTAAGTACCTATGACATTATGGTATATTTGTAAATATCACATTCTACATGGATGAATTAACTGATGAATTAGGTGTTTTGTTTGAAGAAAATGGTCAGTAACAGTAAACAAAATAGTATGTGATAAGTGGTTTGGTTGGGCTTAGCTTAATAAAGGTGCCTGGCACTGGCAAATAAATATGGCAAAATCTTTGCACTTCACCGATTCACAGTTATTTGATAATAAAATAGGTTTCACTTTAGGAAATGTTTCATAATATAAGAATTGTTCATACAATGACTAAAGTAAAAACATAATTCAATCCTGGCTGTGACTTTTCTTTCAAAATTTGTGTGATTTTCGGCAACAAAATATTTGGCTTGTTTTGGCTTAAACACATTTTTTCATTGCACATGCACAAAGTGAATATACTGTACACAATATATTATTTATTACAAAACGTAATCAACAAATGCGTAATAAAATAAAATAAAACCTCAATTAATAATTTTAACTGAGAATAACCAAAATTGCACTGTGTCCATATCATTGGCCATGCTTTTAATTACTGGTAACATCTGCTACACAAGAAACATTTATACTTTTCAAGTTAGCAACCCGCTTTTAAGAAGTATGAGACTAATTACATGTATTACATTAAAAAAGTACAAATTTATACCCATATTGAAGTGAATCGTCTAAGTGAAAAAGTAGTCATTATTGTGTAGACTGCGGTCATTCCAGTGCTATAGACAATGCTATCAAATATATGTCGCAGTAACCATTTTGCTCATTTTATTATTATTGCCGAAAGTTCGTTGAATAGCAGCAAAAATTAAGCACTGAATGATGGACTCTTGTAGTTATAGAAATATGAATATATCGGTTGATTTATCACAATTTGGTGCCTTTATATACTTGTATAAATTTTTATCGAATTTATTTTAGTCCATGAAAGATTTTTTAGCCAGACAAAAGATGGGTCGATTTGCTTCAGCTGATGAAATAGCTAATATGGTGCTTTATCTGGCTTCAGATGAGGTATTTTATAAATCTAGATAAACTTATAGGCCACATTATAATCTACTTAATGGATTGAGAGGGTCTTAGAGGATGGCATTTTGTTCTGATTCCTTCCTGTTTCATTGTGATTCTCTTAAAAATTCATCAGATTCCTCTTTTTCATGAAAGTCTGCTAACAGGAATGTAATCAAAACGGTTCTATAATTGAACAGAAGAAGATTTCATTGTGGATAGATTTAGTATTTATTCAAATGAATTTTATATTTTGTAGTCAAAGTATGTGACTGGTCAATGTTTTATTATTGATGGTGGATGGAGTTTATAAAATAACCAGACAACTTCAGTCAGCAAAAAAATATATAATAATAATAATAATGGTATCATTAATTAATATCAAGAAAAAAATATCGTGTATCTGTAAATACTAGGTGAAGATACATATATTATTTACTGCTGTATTATTGTCAAATATGGAACAAGTTAGAAGCAATGATGCCACAAATATAAATATTTAAAGGGACAGGTGGGCCATTTTGGGGGGTTGATTTTAGTCTTGAATATATGTAAATAGTCTTCAGAATAACGAGAAATGTACGAAAATCACATAATTCCTTTAAAAATACTTTGAACTAGGAGGGAGGCTGAAATTTTGACTGTGAGTTGTGAACGCTATTACTGATTATCTCAGCTAAAAAATCCAGTTTCTGAGACTGAAGGTGCGGACACACGAGCGGTCTTGGTCGAAGATTTTTGTCCTTGACTCGAATCTTGAATAAAATTTTGTGTGTGCCCGTGCTACCTCGTGCAAACTGACCGACTGGAGATTTGTGTGCCCAGTCATTGAAACTCAAGTCGAGACTCTAATCGGCGACAAAAGTCTCCGACCAAGACTACTCATGTGCCCGCACCTTTAAGTATAATTGATTAAAAAAAATGGTCGACCTTTCTCTTTAAATGGTCAGGTTGTGTTTGCAATGCCTTCAAGTTTAGGGCTCATGCTGGGGAACAACATACGAAAAACTTGCCGCTTTATTATTTGTGTGTTGTGATTTCAAGTCGTCATACTATTCAGAATTTTCTGGCAGAACTTTGGAAAAATCTCTCGACTTTTCACCCAATCTCCAGATTTTTTTTCCTGAGATGTACACTGTATGAGTGGAATTGAACAGTGAAATACAAGAAAACAAGAAAATGATGGCTATAGTCTGATATTAACCCTTTGAACCCTGAATATAAATAAAGGTTATATACCCTAAACTCCAAGTAATAAAAGTAAAAGCGTATGACATTAATGTTGTATGACATTAGTTAGTTACGGCTGGTATAGCGCTTTAGTGTGTTGTCAGCCGCTAGGGTTGAAAGAGTTAATGTCCTTGTGTAGTGTACCTCATACACTATTTTTGTAACCTGTTATAAACATAGTTGTGTCAAATTTCCTTAAAACTCAAGCAATTATGTGAGTTTTTTTCAAGTTTTCAAGAACACAATTTCCAATATCATCCTTGGTTCAATGTCTTCCAAAATATCATATTTCAATTTTTTGCTCCAACAACCAAAGAATTCATAATAAAAACATGAATATATTAAAACAAGTTTTATTTGCTAATAAATTAAAAATATGAACAAATGCTTAAGTTTGGGTGATATATATATATAATTTTATAATTCAATTTATAATTTAAAAAAACTTGTGATGTGTAAAAAAGAATTTGGAATGAAAATATTAAAACTTTACTAATCACACACTCACTCACACATCAATGAATTAAAAAAGGGCTTATAAAATTATTTGATCAGATCCTGAATGCTTGATATACCCTGACCTTGACCTTGAGAGAGGATATGACAAGATAGGACATGCTTACGCTTTAAGAACACCAAACTCCTATCTGACTTAGCTTGTCAAAATGGCCATCTTCTCGAATGGTCACATGGTTAATTTGGTATTTTCATCAATGAATTAAATAGGGGCCTATAAAATGGATAAAATAGCTGTTAAGGTCACAAGATCTGATCAAGTAGACACCATCATAAAAATAATATGAATCTTTCAATATTTCAGATAAATTCAATATAATCTACACATTTACAAACTGATCTTTACAGTGCATTCAATGATATTATAGTTTGTTTTTTAGTATAAGTGAAAGTCATGGTGAACCTTTTTTGAAAATCAGACTGCTTTGAAAACATTATTACACATTACAATGAAGTTCATAAAACAAGGATAATTCTTGCTATTGACTTTATTGTAACAACAAAAATTCACTTCAAAATATATTCCAAAATAACATATTATTGGTCGTCTAGAAAGAAGGATAAGTCATAAATCCTGTTTTTCTTAAGTTGGACAAATTTCTCCCTTGAAGTAATCCATAATTGCATTTTTTTTTTATAATTATTGAATTTAAAGATTCTTAACTTGTGTTGCATAGATCAAATTTTGCATCATGTTTCATTTTAGTGTCAAGTCCTTGTGACATAAGATCTGATAACTAGTGATATTGTAAATTGTATTGACGGAAAGTTAGGGGGTCTCTTAGCATATTACTCAACCTCCAGTTAACTCAATTTCCAGTAAATTTTGTTTCTGAACATTCCTGTTTATATTTCCTCCAGCAGGAGATACAAATTTTAAATTAAGCTGTTGTGCTTTTGACATAGCAAACATGACCTTAAAGATAGGGTTATAGTAAATCCTCAATTGGAATCAGAAAAGTACATGTATAACCAAGTTTCAAAATAAAACCAAGATAATACCATTGATTAGTATTAATTAACAATTCCAATGGTATTGTAAGAAATATTGTTCGTCAAACCATTAACATTACTGCAGAGAAAAATAAAGTTATTTATTATTATTATTATTATTATTATGCCATTATTGATATATCACAGATAAATTTCTATATTTACAGTTTTTTTTTTCAATAGTTGTTATTTGGACAAACATTATCGAAGCTGTTGGATTTGTAGTTGACGAGTTATTTGTAAGTTTTTTTTTGGTAATACTGCCATGGACTTGATGGTTTATTATTCCCAAAAGTCAAAGATTTTATGTGTATTGAAACACTGATAGAGTCAATTCCAATTTTCAACCAGACATCCAATAAAACTAAGTGTTAATTGATGATGTCACTAATCCAGAAGGGCCTTATTTTGCAATATATCGACATGTTGACAAAAAATTTAGAAAACCTTGTTAAAATTCCTTTAAGAGATTTGCTCATCTTGTGATTCATTTTAACACTCCAATGAATTCTTTCAGACATCAGAAAACTGCACAAATATTGACCTGTTGTAATATTGCAAAAAGAAAAGTGAAAAATAAATTACTATGAAAACTGTATGAAAGTGCTAGAAAAGGTGAATCGGTGTAGAAACTTCAAATAGATATCATTCTTAAATATATAGTACACAATTTATAATACTACCAAAATATGCATATAATGGTCACAAGAAATTTTCATTCAAACACAATTTTGAGATTTTGAGTTCCCTTTATGGAGAAGTTGGTAAAATCCATTAAGATAAGATGTATGAAAAGGCCTGAAATTTTTAAATAAATGCAGTTTTTAGGAAATTCTTCCAATGTTTCCAATGTTTTGACTAGTTCAAAATGCCTCGGGTCAAAATTCTAATTGTGACCTATGAAATTACAAGTGGAAAACTGTGACAAAAGTGGCTAAAACTCTCAAATTTAACAAAATCTGTGACCTGTGTAAAAATATTTTTTAGATAAAAATGATTCCTAAAAAAACGGCTTTGGATTTCAATCTATCTCTCTCAAAACTCTCATTTGAAAATATCTCTGCAGGACTTCTCACAAACTTTATCTGCACACAACCACTGATTAAAGCACTTTGATTATTACTTCAAAATCACTTTCTATAACATGAACGTCTGGTGCACTAGTCTATTCATTGTATGTGAAGAGTTATTTCCCTTTGTAAACACTGCTAGGAGTCTGGTGACATCTCCAGTTCATCATATTTGAGATCTGTTGTTGGTTGAGAATGGGACTGAGATTTCACTAACATCTGTAATAATACTAACACTTGATCCATCTTATTGTCTAACTTATTTACCTACAAAACCATAAACATATGTGATGGTAAACCAACAGGGGTACAGGGGGTCGTTTGCCCCCCTAGAAAAGTGGTTTGCACCCTTAATTTTACCCCACTTAATTCTTAATAAATCTAAATGTCTACCTTTTTTCTCCAAAATATGTGTCAGAATGCCAAAAATCAATTCATTTTTTCTAAAAAAATTTTGAGAGAACCATCTAAGACGCTCTATGGAGGCTTGCGACTTGGACACAAACACAGAGTAACCAAAATTTGAATTCAGCCTCAACAGTTGTACCCCCTTTGAATCAGTCTGCCCCCTATTGTACCCCCAGTTTCGGAAGGTTGGTGCCGCCACTGAGGGGTGATACATTCAGCAAAAAAGCCTATGATTAATTGAATTTACCAAAATCTGATATCTACCTCTATACACATTTCAGAGCTTGACTATTACAAATAAAATTTTAAATAAATAGAATTTGTGTCTTGATACACTGGAATCAAATTTTTAATTATAGTAATAATATACCTGAGATTCAACCCTAGAGATTCTGGAATATAAAGTCAATTTCTCCTTCTCTTTAACATTACCACAATAAGCAGGTTTACCTATTGTTTGATCTAATCTGAAAATAGTACAAATTATATTGTTCAGAATTAAATTCCTACACCTGGTTCATCTCATTAAAGTAATAACGTTATTTGGGCATTCATACAACATGTAGTAGGTTATATTACCTTCTCTGTAATTCTTTAATTCTAACCATCATATTAAGATGACCCTGAGAATATTGTTCTATCACATCACGTACATCATAAGGTTTTCTTGCTTGCTGTAAATATAATAAATAACATCATAATATTTTCTTGCTTGCTTTTAAATATAATAAATAACATCATAAGATTTTCTTGCTTGAATCTAATATAATAAATAACATCATAAGGTTTGCTTGCTTGATGTAAATATAATAACATCATAAGGTTTTCTTGCTTGAGGTAAATATAAGAAATAACATCATGAGGTTTTCTTGCTTGCTGTAAATATAACATCATAAGGTTTTATTGCTTGATGTAAATATAATAAATAACATCATAAGGTTTTCTTGCTTGTTGTAAATATAATAAATAACATCATAAGGTTGTCTTGCTTGATGTAAATATAATAACATCATAAGGTTTTCTTGCTTGCTGTAAATATAATAAATAACATCATAAGGTTTGCTTGCTTGCTGTAAATATAACATCATAAGGTTTTATTGCTTGATGTAAATATAATAAATAACATCATAAGGTTTTCTTGCTTGCTGTAAATATAATAAATAACATCATAAGGTTTTCTTGCTTGATGTAAATATAATAACATCATAAGGTTTTCTTGCTTGATGTAAATATAAGAAATAACATCATGAGGTTTTCTTGCTTGCTGTAAATATAACATCATAAGGTTTTATTGCTTGATGTAAATACAATAAATAACATCATAAGGTTTTCTTGCTTGCTGTAAATATAATAAATAACATCATAAGGTTTTCTTGCTTGATGTAAATATAATAACATCATAAGGTTTTCTTGCTTGCTGTAAATATAATAAATAACATCATAAGGTTTGCTTGCTTGATGTAAATATCATAACATCATAAGGTTTTCTTGCTTGATGTAAATATAATAAATAACATCATGAGGTTTTCTTGCTTGCTGTAAATATGATAAATAACATCATAAGGTTTTCTTGCTTGCTGTAAATATAATAACATCATAAGGCTTTCTTGCTTGATGTAAATATAATAACATCATAAGGTTTTCTTGCTTGATGTAAATATAATAACATCATAAGGCTTTCTTGCTTGATGTAAATATAACATCATAAGGTTTTATTGCTTGATGTAAATATAAGAAATAACATCATAAGGTTTTATTGCTTGATGTAAATATAATAAATAATACATTAGGGTTTAAGAAGTCCTAAAAAAAAAGTCTGACCTGGAATTTTCTTCTTGCAACAAAAAATTTTATTTTTCTTATGACTCTGATTATTACTTTATGATTTTCTGTTAACCTGAAAAAAATTTATCGTTATTTAATGCAAAATACATACGGACGATTAGCTTCAACAACAAAGACTGTTAGTATGGCCACAGCATAACACTCCTGGATTTTATCTTACAGGACTAGTTTAAGACTAGGTTCAGATAAAAATGTATCACATCTGGTTTAAAAGTGTAAGATTGTTTATAGTCAGTATATATTGTAAGCTATGTTTATAATGATGGTGTAATTGACTTATAAATGATGTTTATACTGTATCTAATACAGATGTCTATCATCTTTTTTCTTCCATATACTCTTGATCTGTATAACATGCTGATAACAGAAGAGCTTTACCAATTTATCTCATGTCTTGGACATGTCTCATCCAGTCGGACTGTGGGTTTGAGAAAATGCCAAGAGGTTTGGTCAAGATTGAAAGGATGTATGTATATATTGATGAGATCTCACTCGAGTTCGTAATTGGTAACAATCGGATGAAGGGTTTCGGAGTTATTGCCCTTGACTTAAAAACTTGTCAAATTCGGCTTGTAAGGCACGATAGAGACTACAGTTTTCATCCGATCTTGATGAAACTTGGGATTTATTTATATATTGATGAGATCTCAGTCAAGTTCGAAATTGGTAATCATCCGATGAATAGTTTCAGAGTTATTGCCCTTGACTTAGTAAAAACCCATCAAATTTGTCTTGTAGGCACAATACAGACTACAGTTTTTATCCAATCTTGATGAAACTAGATATGCATGATGAGATCTCGGTCAAGTTAGAAATTGGTAATAATCCAATCAACAGTTTCAGGTTTTTGCCTTGACTTATAGATGATTTTAAGATTATTTGAAAATTAGCCACTAAAGATATTGTTATCATTCTGACAGCTGGTAATGGGCGTACGTTACTTTGCAAGCTATCTTATTTGATCTTGATGAAACTTAGTATGCATGTATATATTGATAAGATCTCAGTCAAGTTTGAATTTGGTCATAATCGGATGATTGGTTTCAGAGTTATAGCCCTTGATTTTGTAAAAACCCTACAAATTTTGCTTGTAGTTATGATAAAGGGTGCAGTTTTTATCTGATCTCAATGAAACTTGGTATACATGTATATATTGATGAGATCTCAAGTTCAAAAATGGTTAAAATTGGATGAATGGTTTTAGAGTTATTGCCCTTGAATTAATTCAGTGCGTCTAATTTGGCTTGTAGTCCTGATAGAGACTACATTTTTTTATTCGTTTTTTGATGAAGTTGGTATGAGACCTGAGAAAAGCTTGAAATAAGTAACAATTGGATGATTGGTTTCACAAATTAAACCACTACACACTTTGCTATCATTTTTGACAGCTGGTAGTGGGCATATGTTACCTTGCCTGGCAAGCTATCTTCAAATTATTCAAACAGATGTTTTTTGTTCCTTCATCCTTCATAATGCTAATAGAATATATAAAAACTTACTGAACTGGTTTATATACATAATATGGTAAATCTTCATCTTCTCCCATAGTACCATCAGCTAGTTCTAATGAATTCTTACCAATAGAATCAGAGACAGATTTCGTTGGTGTTCCTAACATATATAACATATGTAAATCATTTTACAAAGGAGATAGGCATCTCTTTGACTGTGTTGTGGTACTGTACTGTGTGCCACAGGAACATCATAGAATATCTGGTAATGCCTTTATGAATTCATTAATAGTTCAGCTCTGTATAGATACCAAAAGTTATAACAAATTTGGTTATCAACAGATAATGGATCGGATTTAATTGCAATAAAAGAGGAATATTCGATGACAGGATCACATCAATATGACACATCTAAGGAACTGGAAAGGGCCGATATTTTTGTTTACCATAAGTTTTTATACACACCTGGTTTATTGGTTTCAGTATAAGCTACAATACTGTTACTACTCTCTTGTCGTTCTAGACTACTATTTTTATTACTTCGTTTCCTTTTTAATAAACTAGCTCTCCGTGTTAATCTAGCTAGTGTTGATGGGTTGGAACTATTCTGGAACTGATGTTTAGATTTATCATGATGACCTTTATCTTGTGTATGAATTTGCCACGTTGCTATGGAATCAAATCCAGCCTCCGCAGCATGACATCTCCATAAACACTGAAATGTGTAAGAAAAATAATTTTTCATGAAAGTTGAAATCCATAAATAAATTCATTTTCAAATGTTGGAATTTCTCATGAAATTTTTTGCAAAAGTCGTGATTTAATGTATAAAGATGTCTAAATATGTTTGTATAGCTGATAGAGAACTAGATTTTAGCTATCTGTAACACTTTCCGAAAGAAAATCTAATAATGGTACAGGTAAAGGAGAACTTTCTGCAATGTTATGACTCAATCTTTTCCATCAAGTTAACTAATCAGACCTTAAAAATGGGTTTAGAACATCAAGAATTTCCGAATTTTCAACAATAAACATTAATCCACCTTCACAATGTCCAGCTATTACGAACTTCTTCTTATACCTTGTTTGCAATAGCTCCGTTTCTTGCATCACGGAATGTAGATTCGATTGGATGGTACACCAGCGAATACAGCCAATCAGAGCTCTTGACATAAAGACTGTAAATATTATGGTTTATTGTTAACAGACTTTCTGTCAAGGACTCTGATTGAAGTATTCGCTAATGTACAAAACACTGCATTTACAAACAATTTGATACAGAAACGTGGCTATTGCAGTCAAGGTATAAGATGAAGGATGATTAACGTTATATTTGTCAAAATCTTTTGTTTTGTTTAACAAAAAGGTACAGCAGTACGTTAAACTATTATCATAAGGAAATCAGCATTCTTACATGCAGTAAATCTGACATCATATTATTGGCAAATATTTCATCAAAAATGTTATTATAACATTTTTAATAATAACTTTTGTCTTGCCAAACACTCAACATCATTTCAAGACAAGACAACTTGACCTGGAATCTTTAATATTTCTATGAAAATGTTTGTATTCTGCTGTATGATGGTGAAGTTGTATATCTATCTAGTGTATTGTTTATTATTTGAACTTATCTTAACATTGTATTGTTGTCAGTTATGTAAACAATACACACATAACATAGTCTTCAAGATAAAACATCTGTTTAAAACATCTTCATAATCATTTTATTACAACTCTCTTTGTTCTTGGCATGGCATTAACTATCAGACCTACTAGAACACACCATTTTGCAAATTATCCAAGCTGCTGCTTTCCAGAATTATATTCATTTTGAAACATAACTTTGAAACTTAAAGATGGCTTCCCTTATTTTCATAAATGAAAATGCTAATACTTATATGAATAGAAAGTAGAGGTGTTTTAATGAATTGGAAAAATACCAGTTTGTCTCGCATGTCCACAATTAATTCATAATTAGCTAGATTAGAAGAGAATTCCCAGCAGAATTCCCATTAGTAATCGATCAACAAAGGTCAAAAAGTCTTTTTTTGTTTATCCAGACTTAACATACTTTTGGACGTTTATGATTGGTTAAAACTCTTAATTATATGCAATAAGAACTTTATTTTACCTATCAAAATCTGCATATACTCTGTAATATTTTTGGTAATTTAGAATTTTTTAAGACAGCAACCGTCCAAAAGAATATGGTCTTATCCACAAGATCAAGATCATGATTTCTGATTTAAGAAAACTTACTTGTATTAAAGATGCTGCAGTTGGAATTTGTCTATTGAAATGTTTTTGCCGTTGTTTTTGTTGAACCTTTAAGGCAAAACCAGATCCCAGAATACCCTACAAAATATAATCAATTTGCACAGATAGATATAAAGCCTCCCAATGAAAAAAAAAATGGGGCAAGGCTTTGTTGCTGTGCAATTTCATTTTCAGCGTTATTTAACTCAAACCCCTATGACAATGTTAGAAGTTATCCCTTCTTATGACCTTGGCCATTGCTTCTATAAGATAATATCTTCTGCACTCCACAAACATAACACACTTTTGTGCTGATTTGACCTTCAAAGTTTGATAATGTAAATGACTGCATACTGTTTTGTTTGTTTGTGGACCACTCATGCTTCCAGCCAATGCTGTTGTAGGCCCATATTTATTTTTTTTGGGTGGGGGGGGGAGTGCAACTAACAAATAAATAAAGTGTAGAAAATATAAACAATAAGTAAATAATTTGTAAGGGCAATTACCATCATGTTGCCTGTCTTGCGAAACTTACACTCTTTATATAATTTTGTGATTTATTACCCATCATACTTGTGTGCCAAAGAGAACATAAGCTTGTTTATTACACTATTTACGAAATATTGCTAACATAACATATACACAATGAGATCATAAACAGAATATGGTATTGCATGAACATCTTAATCAGAATTGAAGCCATTTGTAAACCTCATCTGAAGGCTTTCTCAATAACGAGTTAAACTCATTTAATAAACACTGTAATCTGAATAAGAATAAAATTAAATGTGCAAGGTATTTACATGTAGTTCCACTTACTGCTGGTAAGGCAAAAAATGATATTGCGAAGACAGAGAAACAGGAAGCCACTATTCGTCCCATCCATGTTTTAGGAACTGTATCACCATAACCTATTGTAGTTACTGTTATCTGAAATCATAATCTTATTAAGTAATGCAGCTCTTTATCTGATCTCGATGAAACTTGGTATACATGTATATATTACTGAGATCTCGGTCAAGTTAGAAATTGGTAATAATTGGATGACCAGTTTCAGAGTTATAGCCCATTTGTGTACAACGATGAGTCATTGTTCATGTTTGAATTTGATGATAATTTGATGAACTGTTTCAGGTTTTTGACTTATGGATGATTTTATGATTATTTGAAAATTCATAATTAAGCCACTAAAGAGTTTGTTATCATTTCTGACAGCAATGATATTCAACTAATTCAAGTCATCAGAAAGGATACAAGGATAACAACTAAGGTTCACAAAGATCCTTTCCACCAGCTGGTCCTTGGTCAAACCCTTCAGCATTGACCTTTCCCAAATTACCTGTAAGATTTACAGCTAGGTCAACTAGAATAATGTTGAAAGATGACTCATGAAAGTTGCCCAAGACTAGAACGAACAACCAACATTTGTTTGAAGTAACTAAACCCAGTTTTTGGGTTCATACGCATCAAATTAAGCCCTTATTGAATCATTGTGCAAACAAATTTCAATCTTGTCTAATCTAAGAAATGAGACCTGATGTACTTGGGATAATTTTTAGATTAAAAAGGCACTTACAACCCCCCACCACAAGGCATCAGCATAACTGGTAAAGTCTGTTGTACCATCAGGTGATACAGCATCTTTTTCAGCTAAATACACAAAATAGGAAGAAAATATTAAGCCTAGAAAACCTATATACAGCGTTGTTATTAATTCCTGAAAAAGAACAAAAATATTGGATCAATGTTATGAATTGAATTTGGTTTTCAAAGAATATTGAGGGAAAAAATAACATTGATTATAAAATTTCCTCATTGTTAATAATATGGATTTTTTTTTCTCTATTAGACATGTTTTACAAATTTTTTGCCTCACTATTCTTAATAATTTATAATATTTATCTTAATTGAAAAAATTTACAAAAACTTGGAGAAATTGAAGTTTCAGATACCAGTTTCGAGACCAAAAAGCTTCTTTATAATTTGTTTCAAATTATTTTTTTTCAACATGAAATATAGTTTTAAAAGATAAAAAAAAAACATATTTTATCCACATACATTATTTTTATGGTGTGAAAAAACTTCCAAATGTCTGTGAAAACAAATTTCAACCTTCAAGATTTGGTTGACATCTACAACCGAGTTATATTAAAAAATTTAATTTCGTATGTTATTCTGTTGGGAAATTTGTGCAAAATCAATCGTTAAACTTTTCATCAAAACATCTTCATTCTTAATTAAAATTTCTAATTTCAGTAAAGAAAGTGAAGTCTTTTCTTCACGACCATAAATAACTTTGTTTTGTATGTTTGCTGATTATTTGATCTAATTTATTGGCCAAATGATTATCAAAGTTTGCTGAAATTTAATCTTAGAAAATAGGCTTACGTCTATTGTACAGTGCAACTGAACGCTGTCAATGTTGTTAATAATAATAATAATAATAATTACGGGACAGAACTAAAATCAGCGCTGGTTTACAGAATATAAGATATCTATATCTTTAGAAAAATTGAAATTTTGTCATATCCAGACATCATATTCTACTTTTTGTAGTTTGTAGCCTACACAATCCTAAAACGTCAATGATGGTGTTTTTCACAGTAATCACACATTATAAATCATAAAAAGTAAATTTGGATTCACACTTATGGCTTTTGATGACTTAATTATAAAAGATGAAGGTCATCTATATTGGTCAATTTCAAAAAGGGAAGACTTGTCAATCAGGTCAAATATATAGGAATATTAAGATGTGTCTCTATCGTCAAGTCTATATGATCAACTGTACATCAAATACATGTAGCCTGTTTATTTGACATATTGAATGTCAATCCTAAACTTTTGTTTACACTGAAGTCTTATGAAGCATTTGATCAATATTTCTTTGAATCTTCTACAAAAATAAACCTTCTCAGTTGATTAAGACACCTTGTAAATGTTTTGCTATGTATAATTAAATATTACTTGTTTACAACTCCTATAGCTGAAAGAGACTTATCGACTGTGACTAACGATTAATGCGTTACATGAAAATGGCAAATTTCCAGTATTTCCCTGACCATCACATACACATGATTTTGTCGCTTTTTAAACTTTTTTTCTTTTTCATGTTGAAATGTTCAAACTTATGATCCAAAGTTTGTGGTATATTCTAGACATTTTTTGTGGCCAACCCGATATTTTCCACCACTGGTGAATTTAACCAATATTTTAGGAAGATGCCTATACTTACATGCTACACTTAGGCTACATATTCAAATGTAAAAAGAAATTAGCAGCAATGCAAATCGTTTTTTTTTTTTTGTGAAATAGGATCAGGAATGTTCCAGCAAGACTTTTTTTCAGAAACTAGGAAGACTTGCAGATTTTCAAAATTTATGCCGTTTCGAGACCCACAAGAACCAACTAAGAACTTACCTGTCTATGTATATACACAACAGAACCTAATAATCTCCAGGTACCACCTTGTCTATCTACATGCAACATTCGTAAAATCTGTAAAAATCTTACACCCCTGAAAAGTTTAAACCATTCATAAACACATTAGATCTGCCATTTCTAGTCTTTATATGTTTCAGACTCGTTACTAGCTTGTATTTGCACTATTTCTACAGTGACAATAATCAAGTGCACACATTCAAAATTAAAATTTTACATCTTACAAATCCTTTGAATACGCCTGCATACATATTTTGGGCGTATATTGTAATCACTCGGGCGGACTGTGATGATCTGATCATTTTTCACCGAAATATCGTGTTCGACTAAGCGTTTTCACTATTAGCTATAACTCGTGCTCACTCTACATGCAACAATTCTTTACAGATTCCCTTGATTTTTATTTTGTGGGTCAATGTCATTATGAAGATGATCCCTATTGATTTTTGTGATGATCTGATAATTTTTCACTAAATTCTTGATCTGGTGTAGTTAATAGTCGGATAGGAGCCAGTGTCTTGGACAAATAAAGCTTAATGTACCTTTTACTTTTTGTAATAACTCACATTAGGTACAGAAAAGTATCAAAGTGCTTTTGACTTGTAACTCAATGTGAACAAGATCAGATGGACGTCTCGATTTTCTTGTACCTACCTAATGGCTGAGGTAGCAAAAACTTGTCCATTGGAACCAACAGATAAAACAACAATACTAGCAACAACAACTAAAAAATCTGAAATTATAAATATGCTTTTATCACAGAAGGACTTAAGTCGAAGTTTGGGTATGCACCGATCTTTACGAAAGTCGTGCTTAAATTTGACTATCAAATGTAGAAAATGAAAGCCTTAAGCCTAACCTTATAAAGTTGGACTTTAGACAAGGTAAGAGCGCTGCATACGGCCTTTATTTTTAGAGGAATTGCAGGATCCACAGACGTCTTGCTGAAAATTGGAATGGTGCAAATTGATGCTATCAATGTCCACGATACACATACAAATTTTAGAAAACCTCTTTACAATCCCTTTAAGATTTGAACCCATAGATTTTAATGGCACATGAGATTTTCCTGAAATAAATTTAACTAAAGATTCAATGATTAGACCATTTAAAATGAAAAGAAAGTAAGAAATATGGCAGGTTTTGACTGGCAATTGATTAAAAAAGAAAGAAATGTTTAACTCAATTATGAAAAATATTAGATAAATGTGTCTGCTACCCAAAGCGATGCAAAGCTTAATTCTTTATCCAGTATTTTCTTTAAAAGCTATCAAGTTTGTCTCCAAGTGTTAGAAATTTATTTTCTTTGAATACACCTCTTAAAATCTAAAATTAGTATCATTTTGGTTTCTACACCGATAGTTTGTTGATGGACAATATTGTTTCTGATGGCATTCTTTAACCTATTATTAAGTTCCAAGGCAGGGACCACAAGATGAAACTTAGCCTAGCATGATGTTTCTGGTCTAGAACTCTCTGAATCAGTCATGTACCCTGAATGTATCTTAACAAAGGCATGACTAACATATTCTAGTACATTTTGGATGAGTCGAATCCATCCCAAACCAAAAAATTAGATAATGCTCTCATACTCCTCCAGCACACCTCTAGAGCATAACAGCCCTAGTCTAGAGCATGACAGCCCTAGTCTAGATAATGCCAGCCCTAGTATAGAGCATGACAGCCCTAGTCTAGATAATGCTAGCCCTAGTATAGAGCATGACAGCTCTATAGTGTAGCGCATGACAGCCACAGACCTAGTCTAGAAGATGGTAGCCCTAGTCTAAAGCATGACAGCCATAGTCTAGAGTATGACATCCCTAGTTTTAAGCATGACAACCATAATCTGGATCATGACAGCCCTAGTCTAGAGCATGGTAACCTTAGTCTAAAGCATGACAGCCATAATCTGGAGCATGACAGCCCTAGTCTAGAGCATAACAACCCTAGTCTAGAGCATGGCTTCCTTAGTCTAAAGCATAGCAGCCATAATCTAGAGAATGACAACCCCTAGTCTAAAGCATAACAGCCCTGCTTTAAAGCATGACAGCCTTAATCTAGAGCATGGTAACCGTAGTTTAGAGCAGTATGACAACCCTAGTCTTAAGCATGACAGCCATAATCTAGAGCATGCCAACCCTAGTCTAGAGAATGCCAACCCTAGTCTAGAGCATGGCAACCTTAGTCTAGAGCATGGCAACCTTAGTCTTAAGCATAAAAACCATAATCAAGAGCGTGAAAACCCTAGTCTAGTGCATTCTAAAAATGTCTAATATTACCTATAACCTATTCTTGTACATTTTGGACAAGTCAAAGCCTTACATACATTACACTTTAAAAAACTGATTCTCTTGTAAGCTTTCGATCTGAAGGTCAAAGGTAATCAATATGTCAGAGATGAATATATCAATTAAAATCTGTCTGCTAGACAGACCATTCTCTCTAGATGTACATGTGAAACCAGATTCTATTTCACTTTTTCAGACATTTTGATTCCTTTAGGCAATGATTTGATTGGGTAAGCTTCTTGACATCTGACCTTTAATTTGTGAAATGAGACAATACTTTCCTAGAACATGAGTTTAGTTTTCCTTCCATTAAAATGATTACATCAAAAGCTGTGTAGAAACCATACAAAATTAAACTCTCAATTTCATTAGGGTCAGTTAGCAGTATGGGGTCAAAATTCTCACATGACGTCTGAAGAAAAGATTTTAATTTTTCATAGAATTGAAAGCAGATTTTCTTTAATCTAGAGTCAATCTCTTGTTTTAAACTCACCAATTATTGAAATTGGTTTGCGGGCGAATCGAAATCTCCCTGAGATTCCCATGTACTTGCTGCGACATCCAGCAGACCACAAGCGTATCACATATTCTAAACCAAAGAATACTACTAGAACGATTTCCTGAAAAATATCAAAAAAAAAGATTAGAGATAGCTTGCCAGGCAAGGTAATATACGCCCACTGGCAGCTTTGATTTTGAATAAAAATATTTGGCAGTACAGTAACAATTACCAGTATGAAATATTCAACCTTCAGACATACACTTCTTTTGAACTTTTGGGGTGTTAATGAACAATATTACCATGTTTTGTCAAAATTTTGAAAGAAATGTGCCTTTCATAGTGTATACAAACTACAATTTGAATGTGTTTTCAAGAACAAGGGCAATAACTCATAAAATATATTTTGGATTTTATAGATTTTCAATAGGGTTCATCCTTGGGTGATAATAAACAATTCCACCAAGTTTTGTTTAAATCTCTCAAGAAGGGAGATGAAAATTGTGGTTACTTTCTAAAATCAAGCCATTTTGTCCAACTGTTCTTTAATTGACTATGATCTCCAGTTATTATGAACCCAGTTTTCAATTTCCTGTCAAAGTTTAGTTAGTTATCATTTGATATAGTGTGAAAATTGGATATAGAACTTCGTGATGTGAACCACACTAACAATAAAGAGAAAGTCGGAAATTAGCAAAATTAATGGAATAACACTTGGACCTCATATCTTTACTATGATCTAGTAATAATAGTTTAAATGAACATGAAAAAGCCACAATCCTGAATAATACCAGCATCATTTCCACTTACTGAGATCAATGTACTGAACTAATAACATTATTTTGACCCAATTATTATCAAATGTAAAGCATTAACCCTGTACTGAAATTCTGTTCTGAGAACAGAACAGATGAAAAATTACTAGTGCAAAGAGTCGAGCGTTCTGAGAACAGTTCCAATTTGAGACTACCAAGGCGAGCTGGTCTCGGAATAGTTCTCAGAACGGAACAGTTACATATTGGTAGTGTAAACGGTTGAGCGTTCCTCGAACAGTTCTTACGCATGTTTCTTGACCCCTTGACATGTTTTACAGTTTTGTGAGCAGACGAATTTGCCCTCATTGGGGTTAGTAGAATGTCTATTCTCAGAATGCTCGAAATTGTAGTAGTGTAAATGGTAAAAATTTGGTAATTTTATCGCATCCAGGCATAGGCCGAGAACGTCATTAGCCCACATGGTGCAGAAAAGCAGGGAGAAAACTCAATTCATTTCATTTCTAGGCCAAGAACGGAATACTTCCTAGCATTCTAATGTAAACAGGGCTATTGACAGCATGCTTTTAAGGATAGCCTAGAAATTGTAATTATGTATAACTTTCATAAATCAACATATTTTCAAACTTTTTATGACAAATATTCCAAAATTACTATCAAAGGGTTTTCCACTTTCATCTTCTGAAGAAAATATATATGAATCTGATAATGAAGTTCCTTCATGTCTGTGATCAATTGAAATAGTTTCCATTAATTAAAGTTATTTTAACACTTTGGATAAATGCAATGTTAGAAACATAATTTGTATCAAATTGAACTCACCATCCAAAATAAAGTTTCATTTGCAAATTCTGTATATTGTTCAATAGTTGAGAGTACACTAAATATTAAACAAATTAGCACCATCATAAACCTGAAAATAGAACATAATAATAATTAACACTTCTGTTATTTGTTCTGTCCATCTTATTTGCGTGCTGGTTATAATTCCATCAAATTCAGAAGATTTTTTTTCGAGTTTCATTTTTTTTTGCATAGTGGCTCAACTGCATGGCGTGGCAAATACAGTCAAATATAAGTGTTATCTTAACATCAAGAGCTTGATTATACAAAAAAAAAAATCCAGTTATTGGCTGTCATTGAATGAAAATGACCTTGAATAAGTCAACTTTCCTCATTATTTCAGTCGACCCAGCTGTAAATTGTTAAGATAATGTTCAGGAATGATTAATGCTAAGAGGTTTGGCAGAGGATCAGCTGGTACACAAATCCTAAAGAGGCCTTTGAAATTATCCTTGTTTGTGTCTTTTCTTCTTGTAAAAGCATCATTGCCTTAAAAAGGGAGAAATTATAAAAAAACATCTTGCAATTACTTTTAATGATGAAATCCACTAAGAATTCAATTCAAGATGGTCGTTTTGTTTTTTTTAATGTTTTTCAATGATTGATGACCTGTGAATTTTTAATTGGAAAATGTGAATTTTTAACACGAAACAAGAAATCACCCTATCAATTATATGCCATTTAAAAATCTTATATTCTTTTTATAAAGAAGAAAGAAGATTAAAGTTCCTGCGGATACTTGTTACTAGCTGGTCCTTGACCAATACTCTTACCATTGATCTTTCCCAGATTATCTGTACCCATTTACGGCCTGTTTGTTCTAATGATCCAGTATCAAGAAGGGTTGTGTTGGAAATAGCCATTAATATTTGAAAATATAACAATAACTAAAGCCTTGCAAATTACTATTTTACCATGCTTCATGTAAATGTAGAATTCAGATGAGAATTGGTCGTCTCTGGAAAGCTCTTTTCTAAAATTATGCATATGCTAGGGCCTTATTTTGAAAAAAAAAGGTAAAAATTCATCTAGACCCTGTGTGCTATAGACTATGCTTGTAAAAGAACATTTAGCAGTTGGAGACCATCCATATGATATAATAATACTTAAATCAAGTTAGTGATGAAGACATGTCGCTGCCAAGAAAGCTTTAGCATAATCTATTTATACATTATTAGTCTTAAACCATTGTCTGAAAAAGTATTTGGATATGATGAAATTAGGTTAATAATGAGAGAAAGCAGACGTGAACTAAAAGTGATGTAGTCATCTATATAATGGTTGTCGATAAGTTGAAACTTAACAGGTTTATTTCAGCTATCTGTGTTACTTTTCAGAATGAATTGAAATATAAACTACCTGATGTATTTCAGCCCCTTAAATTAGTTGCTAGCGTACAATATAGGTATATTGAAGTTTTGTATCGCAATACATCTATTCACTGATAATCCGTGCCAGTGTCTATCAGATGATAGTTGAAATGCCAGATGATTATATACCTTTGAAGAGGTATTCTTTATAATAAACTATAAGACAAGAGAAAGTCTTTAGTTATCAACAAACTTCTTCACACCTTATCTAAACATTAACTTCTCTTATCTTACAGTAATTTGGTCAAGTCTTTTAACAAATTACCAGTGTTTCTTACTGTATAGTGTTAGATGATATTACAGCAAACTTTAATTGTTTGTTGAAGGTCCAGGGTTCAATCCCGGCATAGGTCGAGATCATACCTTCGGATTTCCCCCTGTCAGTGATGCAGGTAAGAGGAGCCGACATGGAAAAAGCATCTTGTCGTTCAGATGGGACAATAAACCGAGGCCCCGTGTGCTACAGGCTGTGCACGTTAAAGATCCCTCGACAGTTGGAAATCGAAAAAGAGCAGGCTAACGCAACTGTCCTGGCAAATTTTCCCTCATGGCACCCTGCGTGGAGTTGCCCGTCTTCATTAGCCCACAAGGTGCAGAAAAGTAGGACGTAAAACTCCATTCATTTCATTTTCAAATTTTGTCATTGATATTTTAGAATGTGGGTACAAGTACAAAATTTCCCTCATTATACACTTCATGGCGTTGTTTGATTGTGATATATACTATTTACTATTTATCTACCCTCATCATTCTCGTTGACTCAGCTGTAAATGGAGACTGAAAGATCAAGTGGTTTGGCCAAGGACTAGCTGGTAGATGAGTGTTATCTTTCCTTTACTTTTCTCTTCGTAATTTTTTTTGTCATGCCTAAGTCACGTATAGGGGTGGCCATCCTAATTCAAATTGTTACAAGAAGGCAAATTCTATTCAGTGGACAATCACTGAAATTCCAAAAAAAGCGTAAACATATCGCAATAAGGAAAGATTGATAGATCAAATTTTTCGACAATGGATGGAAGGACTGATGGGAATGGTGAAATTTTCCAATACATCTGGTGATTCAGTTGAAGCAAACCATACAAAATCTGGTAATAGATATTGTGAAGAGGCAATTATATTGTCTTTCACCTTAATCCAATATGCAAAATTTGTATACATCTTATGACTTGTGAAGCTATCGTGGTAAAAAAAATTCCACATTGCAATACACACAAAATCTGATATTGCCCATAGAATAAAGTTTTATTTTGGAAATTTGAAAAAATGTCTCCTAGATATAAACCTGAGAAGAAAAGTTGTCTTGCACTGCACCAACTAAGATAGCATCTCAGTATATATGGTATTTAGACTGACACAAACCTTAGGAAAATGTCTCCAAGATGTAAACCTGAAAAGAAAAGTTGTCTTGCACTGCATCTACAAAGATAGAATCTCAGTATATATGGAATCTAGAGTGACACAAACCTCAGGAAAATGTCTCCAAGATGTAAACTTAAGAAAAAGAGTAGTCTGTAAAGATATGTGAAGTTACATGTACATTATAATTAGAAGAAAACTCAATTTAACTCTGTCAACCTTGTACATTGAAGCAGCTCATTACTGTCTGTTGAACAAGCAATACCCTTCACTCTTCTACCTAACAATATCTCATGTGCTATTCATTTCAACTACAGTTTGCATGTGATTTAACACTCTTGTCATTTAAATGAACATTGAAATTCTTATAATAGTAGACCCTATATACAGAAACTTCCAGGCTTTCTCAATACAAACAGGGCTGTAACTTGCGTCTTTTTACTCTGAGGCACAAATCCTGTTGTCTTTAAAGACAACTATGTCCTTCATCGCGTTTGCTGTAGAATTCAATTAGTAACATCCGTACCTTAAAATTCTACGCAATATATTTGGCAGATATATTTTTTTTGGAAACAAAATTATTTTTTTGGTTAAATCTCTCACGTTTACCTGGATGTACTTTTGGCCCTAAAGAAAGTGGATCTTTGTAGTGATTCTTTTTTGTTTTAGATTGAGTGAGCAAATGATCAAAGACTAGGTATTCGGGGTGAGAGCCGACACTATATACCGACTATCGGAAGCACTGGCACAGACATCAGAATGTTTCTTACCTTGAGGAGGATTTAAACCCATGGCACAAAATCGCAATGCAGACGATAATCCATCTCTAGGGTTTGATAAAGATTTTTCATCTGAAGCATATGTTGAAAGGATGAGCTTTTTGTTAATTTGTACAGATTTGCACAAAATAACTTTTAACATAATTTTTTTCAAACAATTGATAGTTTTTAGAGGCCGCCATTATTGGTAAATATGCAAGAATATGACATGTTATAGATAGAAATGTAAACCTTTACACGGTGTAGAAAGATAGTAACCATGATGCAATGATATCAGGTGATATTAATTTGGCTCAAAAGACAAACTAAGAGATAAATAACAACAAAAACTATTGTTTAATCATCAGTAATTTCAAATTCAACTTACAATTTTCTTTTAATACATGAAATAAGTGAATTCTTTATTTTACATGGGTCAGAATGAGTTCTAATACACCAAAGTGACATGCTCCTGTCTAACATTCAGCCCACATTATATTATGTTAGTAATTTTGTTAAAGCTATTTTTATCAGTAGATTGTTGAAAGCTTGTAAATGGTTTGATAGGAAGATGTAATTGTAATGACTATTTTCATGAAGTCATAATAACCAGGTTCCATTGTATCAAAATAGACTGCAGACAAACAGACGTCAATTATAGGACCACTGTTTCACTCAAGTTCAGATGAAGATTTGACTGGAATTACATACAACTATCACCTGCTAACATGGTGTTTCTATTTCCTTTAGGGACAGACATTAAATTTTTTTGATTAAGATTTCCAAATGAAAAACTGTCAAGAAATCTTATAGTATGTGATATAAATTCCTGCGTTCTTACATTATTTTGGTTGACAAACAAAAAACAGATTTAAAGGGATGTAAAGGGGTTTTCTAAACTTTTTGTATGTATCAGGGATACTGATAACATTGATTTGAATCATTCCAGTTTTCAAACAGACGTCAGTAAGTGTTTTATGATGTCACTAATTGCAAAATATGCTTTATCAAATGAGACACTTAAGATGAGTAACTTCAAACACAAAGTTATAGTGGAGTTGCAGGAACAATTGCAACAAGTTACCTTGAATAATTACAGGAACCACAGAATTATGGAATGACGCAAACAGGAAGAATTTACAATAGTGTAAAGGCTTTCAACTGCCGTTTTAAGTTGGGAGAATATGCACTGTGTTGACCTATGTCTATGCTCCAAGAGTCTGTTCAAAAGAAAATGCTTTGATTGAGAGAGAATGGTTCCTTAATACTTCTTTGTCACTCTAAGACTTCTAGATGTAGGCTTTCATTTAACTTATTTCTTGAGGAAAAAACAACATAATACACTTTATTGAAGACAAAGAATTTGTTATAACAATAGAATAACCTTGACCATATATCAAGAATGCTGGTCAAAATTGATATTTCACACAATAGAGAAGATGACAATGGCGGACATGTTTGTGTAATTGATTTCTTGTTTTAAGTTTTAATTGAAAGAATTGCTAGACAATTGTCTATTGAAGGGTAAGAGACATAAATTGTTTCAAGTCGATTAAACTCTAGCATCAGTTAGTGACAAGTTAAGC